AGCATTAGAGTGCTAGGCTGTGGGGCTATCCTTTCTGGACCAAGTTAGCATTAGTTTACACTCTTTCCCTGTAAGAATACTGCATAATGAGACTGATGGCTGCATACATCACATATATCACAGCCGTTCTAACAAATCTGAATGTGTTTTTGTGTTTCTTTGTTGGTGACGATGTATCCTAATTGCAGAACCAGTGTAAAGAAAAGAGCTGACATTGTCAAAACTTCATGCAAGATTCTTGCATGGTCAGCTTCTAATGTAGAGCTGTAAATGTTAAAAGTTGACGCTGAAAAAAGTTCTCACCATACGAAGGTTTATTGCACGTTACTATAGTTGCGTTTCAGTGTTTAGTAGAGGTGGACCAATCAACGTTTTTGGGACTGATGCCGATCGCCTTTCAGCAAGATCGGCCGATAGCCGATAACATTCAAGGGCTGGGCTCGATGCCACATTTAAAGGTGCAGAAGACAAACCACACATTTTTAGATTGCCAAGGCATACAACACTTTTTTAGCTCTTCATGGCCATAAAACCCTTCATTAACATTGTACAGACAAATGGCATGATATAAGGTTGGAGCGAACAACAACACAGAAAGTAAACTAACGTTAACTAGGTTGTAAGTTAGCAGACTCCCCCTGCAGTTGCTACTGCAAGGCTAATTATGAACATTAGCAAACGGGACAAAACAAAACTGACGTATTGATTCTGTGAAACAGCAAGGATAAGTTATTTTGCCCACTTGTCAAGCAGAAACAGAGCAACTGTTACATATTAATCCCTTTTCATGCCTTCAACTCTTTCAACAGCTAAAGTCAGCTTCTTGTTTGAATTTTCCTGCTCCACCTTAAATGGTGCAGCAGTTACATTCTAGTGCCTCCCGCTAGCATAGCCATTGAAATAACTAGAGCTGACGCAACCAGCACAGCTAACAAGACAGAACACGGATGGGTTTTTAAATGTACTGAAAAGGTCAAAAGGGCTTTCATACGATCTTACGATACGATTTGTAGTTATAGTTAGAAAGATAATGGCCGATCACACGTTTGGGCTGAAAATCGGCTGATGCCGATACACAGCCGATCGATCCTTCCATCTTTAGCGCTTAACCTTGCAACCTACTAGGTATTTTAGTCACCAGTTACTCTCTGTATCAGATGAAATGGCCTTGGAATGTAGGTACAAGGTAATAAACCTGAGGCTCACTGTTTTCCAGAAGTTAACTGAGTGTTTTTTTGGTTCCATGTCATTTAGCTAAATTCTTTCCATAGGCTAATGTCTTCCGCTCCAGCCTAACTAAAGGAAACATGTTTGCGTAAACTTTTTAAGCAAGATTCGTCACATGTACACTGCGCATATGCAAACTTCTGCACGTGTCAGCTTTTGACAGTGTAAGCTATTTTCATTACAACAGCCTACGTTGTATTCTATTACTAAAGTGTTAAGGCTTTGGTAACACTGTAATCAAATAAGAACTACATTTTATTAAGTGTACATTGCATTAACAGACATGTGCATATCAGGGAAGTGAAATCTCAAGGTAATTACACCCAAAGAACAAACTGTGCTGTGTTTTGGGCCACTGAGGCAGTGTGTGTGCGGAGGTGTGTGGTTGTGTGTCCATTTATGAGTAACATAAGCTGAGTTTAAGCATGCAGTGATCCTTGTTTGAGGAACAGATGGAGGCCATCACTTACTGCTCACTTAACAGTGATGAAGGATAACAGACTGGAGAGAGAGAGAGAGAGAGAGAGAGAGAGAAAGAGAACAGCACATTTTTGTCTCTCTCTTTTGTGTTTGGCTCCAAGCCAAATTGCCAGTTATTACTTTTAAAGGTCATGCTGGTGTTTCCTGTGGTGGCTTAACAGAATTAAGGAAGATAAGCATAAGCAGGTTATATTAAAATACTGCCCCAGATAAAGTGGGATACTTGATGTAAAGAATATATTTTCCACATTTGCCGTTAGGGAAGCACCCTTATAAAAATTGTTGACTAATGCTTGTAATTGATGGTTCAATGTCCATGGTATGTCTGCGGAAAAGTATGCGAACAAGTATGGATTGTAGTAGTTAGATTTCAAACACTGCTTGGAGATTTCTGTCCTCTTTGCAGTTTAATCAAAGTTATAAGTCTTTCAGGACCAGAAATCCCTCAAATTCACAGGCTTATTACATACTAAGGTTTATTATTCGGTAACTACAGGGATTCCAGTGCAAACTGGTTGAACTATTCTTAGGTTATAGAAGTGTGTAATAAAACTTTGGGCCCACCAGCAGGCCCCGAGTCTCGTGCTTAGGCAGCTAACTTTAAACTTAATTTAGTGAAACCTTGGATTTTCAGTCTCACAACAGTGGATCACTTTTTACCAGGATACATCACCATGGCAACTTCTGCTTCATGCCTAACCTGCTCCAGGGCAGGTAAGTTCAGGCATTACTCTTGGGCCAATCAGGGACAGCCTTCTGATGGAGGTAGACCCCTCCAGTCACTTGTTTTTCTTCATGACCACTGAGGTCTCAATCACATGAAAAATATAGCTTTTTTAGCAGAAGAAGCAAATAATGCTACATAGAGAGTAGGGATATAAAGCAGTTATTACACCATTAAGTGACACTGCTACTGTGTCACTATACTTTTCAAATATTTACATAGAATAATGTGTTCCCTTTTTTTTTTTTTTTAAGTGTTTCCCTTTTTTAAGTCGCTTGACTCCATGTTTCGTGTGATTGGCTGTTGGTCATAAACATGTTTTATGTGCATGTACACAAGAATTAAACACAGCCTTAGTATCAAAATCTGAATTAACCACTGTCGTAAATGAAATCTGAAACTTCAGGAGTTGCCAAATCACACATTAAACTGATACAAAGTTGGTGATTTTAAGTAATTATTTCTGATATTGTTTTGGTTTTGTTATTATTGCGCTTCTTTGTCTTCTATGCATATTTTCAAGATTCCTCACATATGTTAACATGGAAAAACGAGGGAAACCCGCAGTGCGTTAGTACAATGTAGTTTCACTGATGATTGAGAAGGCTTCTTCTGTTTGCCACGTTCTTTGCTCCTGTTATTTGTTTGTTAAAAAAAACACTTTTGAATTCAGAAGTACTATGGATTTGTGAAAAGATTCAAAATGTAAGATTTGAAGCAGAAGGGAACTCCTTTTGTATTGGTGCGGTGTTAGTGGCCTCTCTCACAGCAAACAAGTACATAGACAAAGACTGGGCCAGCTTGTTAATAATGCATGCAGATGGATGTGATTGCATAAGATGGTAAGGCAAGCTGCCACTGCGATATGGCCCATGGGAGATGGGTGTAAGACAGTGGCAGGCCTAAGGCTTGTACACGTGTTTTCAACAGACAGCTTTAGGTCTTCAGACAGACCTCGCTGTACTCAGTCATAACAAAAGAATAAGCCTGTCCATCACCTCCTGTACTAGTGACGGCAAATGAGTACCCATGCATGCTGCCTCTTTTTGTTTTCTCAGCACTAGTATGATGAAGACTGTGTTACGCCAGCCCCGTCTTGCACATCAGACCGAGCGGATTAGTCAGTATTAGCCGTTAGCAGCCTGGGCTGTGCCGGCCTCTATAATCACAATGACTACCGGCCTGAGGTCTGGCAGTGAGGTAAGCGAAAGGGTGAGAGACGTAATGCTGCGTCATGCTCTACGTCAAGCCCAAGGGAATCCCAAGAGCTTTGGGATTGTACTAATACTCCCTAGGTATTATGGGTCAGCCCAGGTAGCCAGGGTATGGGGGATCACCACGGAGACGCATGGTGGTTGCGAGGCAGTGGGTCTTAGGGAGATAAGCTCAACTATTAAAACGCTGTAAACTCTACAGTGCTGACGTCTCCTACAGTATTTGAGTACACAGGAACTTCACTGTAGCAGTGATAATGCTTTTAATTAGTGCTGAAAATGTCAACACTGCCGTTTTTTTCTTGGGTCTGGAACATGTGACACAGTTCAAATTTTGTGATTTGAAATTGAAGAAGAAACCGTTTGCATGTGAGAAGCTGAATGCAGCTAAGAAGCCGATCATAGGATTGTAGGATTTAATTTAGTTTTAAAACAAGAGAAGATACAAGTTCTAACCAGTTTAAATGAATTTAAAAATGCAACATCTATGTCACATATAGGAAGTTAGTCTAGTTAGTTAATGTTAAATACAGACACCTCTGTCAAAAAGTGTACACCAGAGGTGCCCAATTCTGGTCCTGGAGATCTACCACCCTGCAGCATTTAGATCCAACTATAATCTATCACACCTTATCCAGGTAATCAAGGCCTTCAGGGGCATCTGACTATATAAGCTAAGTAACTTTCCAGGGTGGTAGATCACCAGGACCAGGATTGAGCACCCCTGGTGTACACCCTTTGTAAAGGCTCCTTGTCATTTTTTATTTGATCCTCACTGTAAAACATAGATTTAAGGAAATCTCATTGTATTAAATATTGCAACATAAGGCATTATTATATGTTGCTGAATGAAACATTATTCACTTGCTTTGTGTTTTTATTGACCTACTATCTGTCTCCTTTTATTTGTCTACTAACATTGAAGGCTTATTACTGGGCCAAGAACAATCAGTGTCACTAACTGACTGACTCCCTTAGTTTCAACAATATTTCAAGGGACGCCACTTTGGGGATTATAGCATTGTCAACTGTAAGCTTTGTTTGCTGTGGCTGCACTAAAGGCAATGTACAACATGGAAACATGGACTAATATTTAAACTCTGAACACAGCAATAAATGATTTGCTGCTGCAGTCCAGTTAAGCTAGACTTGCCTGATCTTGTTTTCATGTATTTGTTGGTTTGGAGTTATTTTCATTCAGTGTAGTTATTTAGAAAAGGTGATGTAATAACTGAATGTCACATGATAAAGTCTGTGTAGAAATATATCCGATCCTGACTGCGTGTCATGGTTCTAAAAGGTAAGAAATATGCATCACTAACCGAAGCACTAACTGCCTGCTTTTTTTCCACCAGTTTTGATGTGGATAATGGCACGTCATCGGGACGCAGTCCGCTGGACCCTATGGCCAGTCCGGGCTCGGGCCTCATCCTGCAGGCCAACTTCGTCCACAGCCAGCGGAGGGAGTCCTTTTTGTACCGGTCAGACAGTGACTATGACCTCTCACCAAAGTCTATGTCCAGGAACTCCTCCATCGCCAGCGACATGTGAGTTTGACCCTTTTTCAACCCATTTGACTCTCTATGCCACACGTAATGCACCAAAACGAAAATTCTTTGCAAAAACTGAAACCAAAATTCAGGACACACATACAGAAAAAATGTTATATAAAATAAACTTATGGTATGTAGGTTACAGTATGTGCCCTGAAATCTGATGTCCTTGACCACAGAGAGCAGTTGGTCATCCAAGGTGGTGAATTCCATTGTTTTATAGCAATAGCATTGGATTATACATAGCAATTGATGGATATTTATGTTTGCTGATGTTGACCAGAATCATTAGCTGTCTAACTTAGCCTGTTTTCTCTCACTCTGTAGACATGGAGATGACATGATTGTTACCCCTTTTGCACAGGTGAGCCAATTTCATTTTTTTTTGTCAAGTGCTGTCAAGCAACTCTCTTTGCTCCCTTTTTTGGCTTTCATTGTCTGGACTTATCTTGGGTCTGTTTTTAGCTCAGAAAAGTCTGCTGGCTGAATGAGCATAGTTATTCTCTGTTGAACCCATTCAAACTTTTCAAAGGACTGATGACTGACTTTAGTTTGGGTTTTTTTTGTTTATTTCACATGAAAACATGAATTATGAGTATGTTTGCTTATACCATAGCCATCTTTCAGCTATACAGAACTATTTATAGCCATTGGCTGACATCAAGTCCCTCTCCCCAGGTCCTGGCTAGCTTAAGAACTGTACGGAATAATTTTTCAGCACTGACAAATGTACAACAAGAAAGATCGTCCAACAAGTAAGTTAATCAATTCATTGATCATACTGTAGTCTTGCAGTAACAGGATGTTCTGTGTTTGTTCTGCCAGGAGAAGCCTGTCATATGATTCCACTTGAACTTTTGATAATTACCCAATAAATAGAAGGGATGTGTGAAATGTTTATGTTAAATGTGCTGCTCCACAGACAGTTTCTCATTGTTGGCTGTCTCAGTTACTGGTTTTCCTTTGTTGTAACACTGTTTCCAAGTAAACCGAAGCATGTTTATGAATTCATGATGTCCACTGCAACTGTGTTTTGAGCCAGGCCGGCTTCCCGAATATCAGCAACAGATTACATTTTTTCCACATGTGGTACAAAATGAAGTGCAGCAGTGAAGTTTTTTCCATGGTGTATGCATGCTCTTCTGCTGAAAACATTTTAATTCTTGTCATTCTTTTTATCAGGAGATCACCCATGTGTAACCCTCCACCCATCACAAAGACCTCCTACACAGGTGCAGTAACTTTGTCTATTGTTCTGAAATCATATTTCCTTTGTGCGTGTGTCTGCGCATGTCTTTGTGTGTCTGTGTGAGTGGGTAGGAGAAGGAGCCTGTGTGTGTGTAACATAGTGGTTGGACTTGAAGACTATATTGTTAAGAAAGCAGTCTTGTCCCTGTTTTGTTTCCTGGCCAGATGTGTGGTTTTCAAAGCCAGAGGAGTATGAGTGCGGGATTTACTCGCTGTAAATACAGGATGGCCGCCCAGGGCTTATCGTTGCAGTCTCTGCAATACTGGCCAAAAAGAAACACCTGCATATTTTTTTTATCTCATGCTCATAATTGTGGCTTGCTGCCATGAGCTTTTGTTTACTTTCAAGCACTCTTCCCTCAGTTACACTACAGGCATACTCTTCTTTCAGTCCTGCTGCAGGAATACACTTAGCCCAGAAATGCTCTTCTCTCACTCTCACTGCAGAAATACTCTTCTCTTAGTCCCACTACTGAAATACTCTTCAGTCAATCCCACTGCAGGAATGCTCTTCTCATAGTATCACTGCAGAGATACTCTTCTCTCAGTTAAGCTCTAGAAATTTCTTAGTAACAGTATAGGAATATTCTTTTCTCAGTTAGACTGCAGCAGTAATCTTCGCATAGCTGCACTGTGGGAATACTCTTCTCAAGGTTACACTACAGCAGTGCTTCTCAAAGCTTTTACAATCCAGTACTCCCTTGGACTTCAAACTTCCTGCTGTGTACCTCCTGTCTGTCTCACACACACACACACACACACACACACACACACACACACACACATATATAATGGGGTGGTACCCTCAAAGGTATGTCATTTAAGGTACACAATTGAGCCTTAAGTCCATTACTAAATCTTTGAGGGTATATTTACATTGTTTGTAGCTTGGAGAGCAAACGTGTGGCTATACAGTACTTGACAGTGTACAACAGACATGTTTATTAATGTTTACCTTAAAAGAAATAATACATAATACATAAATAATATTAGGGATATTTCTGTATTACTGGGTCAGTCTGAAGTTCCAATCAGAGCAGCTGTAAAATAAACAGCAAGTAACGAAATGTTCACTAACCCGAGCCAAAGCGTATATCACAGTAACATCATCCAGTCAGAATTGAACTGCACTACAAACACGCAAACAAAATACTAACGGTTAAACGCTACGAATGAATAACTCACTAAAACCACAATCTAAACCGCATCTGTGAAAGTGACTATACAGGCCTTAACGACAGTTACTTAATGATACTCACTTTAATCAAGTGAATTAACTCCTGAACGTGCAGCGTGGCGAAGGGGCCAGAATGAAACTTTTTCGTCTCTTATAGAAACTTTTATCACAAAAGCGTAAAATACCAAACTATTGGAGCCTGAGTTTGTTATGTGCTAGAAACTGCTTGTGTCGCCCGTATCACGAAAGTGACTGTGTAATTGTGCAACTGGCTGATTAAATGAAGATTAATGTAGGAATTTTTGACGTACCCCAACGTCATTCTACATACCCCTGGGGGTGCATATACCACAGTTTGGAAACCAATGTGCTACAGGAATACTTTTCATTCTGTCCCACTACAGAAATGATCTTCTCTCAGTCTTTCTGCAGGAGTACTTTTCTCTCGGTCACACAGCAGGAAAACTCGTCAGTCCTTACAGCTCAGTCTTACTGCCCAATTTGCTACTTGATGGTGAACCAGAGTGAACACATAACACACCACCAAAAACATGCACTTTTCCAATATTAGAGGACTCTGAAATGCCAGCAGTAAAAGTAACATGGAGATACAGCAGCTTTTTCATACTCAAACTTTTCATTAGTTGGAATCCATTCAGATGTGAGTTGTTGATCAGCATACAGTACTAGATTACATCCAGATTCCAGAAAACAAAATTGATGTACTCTAACAGTATTTACATTCTGCACCTCATACACTCATTTTCTGTCCACCAGACCGAGCAGAAATCTGCAAACTGACCAGACAGACAGACTCCAGAAAAAAATCAAACATCTGATGTACTCTGACTGTATATACATTCTGAGGCAAGAATTTAGAGTCAGTGCACCTCATACATTAATTTTCTGTCCATCAGACCGAGCAGAAATCTTCAGACTGACCAATACAGCCTCAGTCTGATTGTCTGATCTGTGAGTTATGGCTATAATGGGCTAGAAATGGTTAGAGAACTGTCTAGCAATATCTTCCAATACACTTTTAGTGTTTTCTCACTTGTGCATGGCTAGTAAAACAGCTGTAAAATTTCCTCTGAGGCGAGAGGACAGATGCTATCACAAGGAATGACAGTCCAATGACTAATGTTTTCATCGATTTGTGACATGTCTGTCATTATATTGATTACCTTCTGTTCTTCATTCTATTTATAGTACATTCAGAAGTAGTCTGGAGATGAGCTGTAATCCAGTGTATCACCTTGAAAGAAGAAAACTGATGTAGAATCAGCTTTCACTACATATATAACTCCATGATTAGGTCAGGGTTGTCAAACTCCAGGCCAGGAGAGACAGTAGTCTGAGGTATAGTATTTAGCACACCTTCTTTAGCACACCCGTTTCAGTTCATGAAGGTGCTGATAATTAGCTCTAAACTTAATTAGCAATACCGTACACTCATAATAATGGAGAATCTCTTGATTAGAATAAGAAGGGAAAAAAGTTGCACATAGATTAGAACTTTCATAAACAGTTTGGTACCCAGTTTACACCTGGTCACTTCATGTGACCAGTATCTGAATTGTATCATGATAAGATTGTAGCCACATGCGTTTACACTTGATAGTCAAATGGGTCTCCGGTTAGTTGGACTAAATCCCACTAAAAACAAGTGTCTCCAAAACAGTAACTTTACAGGAGGAGGCAAAAACACTCTTACCTGTCAATGAAAGTTAATGCAAAGAGGTTATATTCAAAGTGATTTTCGAGCATTTCTATTGGTCCATTCATCATGCAATATTTACACAAATTTAAGGACAACTGGAGTGTTGAAATGATGTAGAAAAATAAAAATGGTTTTCTTTGGGCAGCAACGCTATACAGTTACCATTTCAGAAATACAAGGTTGTCTTGCAGCAGCGACAATATATCACATCGTATTCCAAGTAAGCGTAGTGCTGACAGCAGGGTAATGCTAATGTTTTGGCGAGCTCCGTCCAGCTGGCAGTGCAGACACGCACCTGATCTTGCCTAGGGTGATCCAGTCCGGGATTTCCCAGCAGCCCTGCTGTCTGTGGAGCCAGTGGCCTCGCTTGGGCTGGTGTCTGATGTCGCGCTAAGCATGAGAAGAATGCCATTGACGTCAGTGCAGTCCCTTTCAGAGAGTGGCACCCCGTCCTTTCGTAGCCGAGAGAGAGAGAAAGAAAGAACCAGACAAAGAAAGAAAGAGGAAGGAAGGAGGGAAGAAAGTGACGGGCAGAGTGACAGGGATAATGTGTGCTTTGTTAGATGAGTGTATATGTGGCACATGTGCCAAATATCTCAGGTTAGTGACTTGTGTTTAGTGAGCAAGTCACACTTGTTATATATATATATATATATATGTTTAATTTCTAATGAAAAGTAATGTAATTAGAAGCATGTCAGCAGTCCTCAGTAGAATAGTCTAATAGCAATATATTTATTAAATTTTCATTATTTACAGTTCTTGTCAGTTTAATGAGGTTTTGGTAATACAGATGCATGTTTATTTTTTTGCAGATCCTTCTTGACACGCAATAGAGTATAGAGTATCTGTCTTTATTGGGCTTGTTGTATTGGGTGTGTTTGAGATGCGTCTGAAGAGCTGAATTGTGTGTCAGATCTCTCCATGCATAAAGTGCATTCGTCTGTCAGTCATCCTCCTCTAAGCATAATTAATACAGCCCAGGACAGGAGCTCATAAAGAGATAAACTGCGCCGATTTTTTTTTTGTATGCATCATCTTGCTCAAATCATTTTTAATTACTGCTTTTTGGGCTGTTTGTTATGATATCACTTCACTTTTCAGGAAGTGAGTTCAGATTTGAATGTGTGAACTTACTTTGAGACAGAGGTGGGGAGAAGAGCCTAAACCTGTACTGAAATAGTATTGTTACTTGAAATCACTGATTAAGCAGATTGAAATGACTAATTACATAACTTCCAGATGAACAGAATGCATTACATTAATTTTTTGCCAACAGTAAGTAAACCAAAAGACAATTGAGTATATAAACTAGGGTTAAAAAATAACTTGCCTTAATAACAGTTTTTATTATTAAATATATTGCAACTTATACAATGTGGATTTAAATATTACAAATTCAGACTTTTCTCTTCAACTTATTTTTACAATATGATAACTTATTCAGTGCTTCATGAGTTCTTCGAACAAAAATTATTAAATGATAAACAGTATACTGTGATTATGTATTAACATTATATTTTTTGTCAAGTTATCTGCCTTGAGATTTAATCTCCACTTTTGAAATATGACAAATTCTGAAACGTTTTTTTTTACAACTTAGTTCTGTTCTGTTATTCAGCCTTTTCATTACATGCTTATTATTTGAAACCTGAGATGTTGCAGAGGGTTTGAATATTAGAATAATTTTATATACAATTTTTTTCAGTGCAACAAAAACTACTTGAGTAGAAGTCAAAAGTAAAAAAAATAAAAACTTGAGTACTGAATAACTTGCTGAAGAGTACTGAAGAGCTGCAGTGCAACATCTTACATACATCCAGCATCTATCAGCCTAGGAACTGAAGTTTGTTCATCACTATTCTTGTCTTTTTCCAATCCTTTTGGTCTAAAATAAAATTCTAAAACTCACAGGTGAGAGATGTGAGCAACAGCAAAGCAGCCCAGACACTGAAACAACAGAACAGACTGAAATCAAACACAAAAAATAAATAGGAACTCAATTTGAATGGCAAACATGGAGCTAGGTAAAGGCTACGTTACTTATCTAAGCAGTGTATGTGCATATATTATCATTTGGGAGGACACAGAGGGGGTACAAATCCTTCAAAATACACAGTACATACAACTGAGTTAATGGAACTAGTTACTGACCACCTCTGGCCTTAGAACCATAGACAGAGCTATATTCCCCCAGTGCTCCTGATCCGGGTGCTGTGTGATTCCAGGCCGTGCTTTGGCTGCAGCCTGCTTTCTCCTTTTTCACGGCGCAGCGCTGGCAGCCTTCAGGCTTCTGTTTCGGGGGAAGCTCGGCTCACGTTCGGCCAGCGACGCGCCACAGCCACCCCCCGCGCACGCTGGGCATCCGGAGAGAGCACACACTCACACAGCTGACAGCCCTTGTCCTCTGTTGCGTGTTTTTCGTGGGTCTCTTTATCCTTCAATACTGCTGGCTGCTGGAACACTAGACAGAAGAGAGCCCAGTCATCTGTTGGCGTCAGCCCTCCATATGCCGTGTGTGCGTGCGAGTATGTGTGTGGACCGCTTAAACATCATGCCTGTAGCTGTTGTTTTGGTCCAGATGTGAAACTGGGAATCCTCCTCCACGCGGGCCTCTGGATGTAAGCTGGGCAGAGATGGGCCTGCCTACAGCACCACCGCTGCTTCTCCTGCTCCAGCACTGGACCTATCTCTCTGCGCTTAACAGCACGCTGGACCTTAGATCACTGGATAAGTCGCCGCGAGACGGTCATTTTATGTGTGTGAGTGAGTGAGTGAGTGAGTGTGTGCGTGTGTGCGAATGTGTGTGCCCCTGTTGCCCTGCGTATCTGTGTGTGGCCCCTTTGTGTGTTTTGTTTAGGGATATACTGTTCTCGTCTCCTCACACGCTCCGTGGCTTTGCTTTACCATACTGGGATTACCATTCATTGGCCCTCAGTCTGAAACTTGCTCAAGATTTCCCTGGGAGATTTTTCGGCTCGCATTCAGAGCCCACTGACGTTCACCGTGGAGGGTCTCAGCACAGCATGAAGAACCACCCATGCGTCCAGTCGGGACACCCCAACATGGCGGTCTACGGCAGTTTGGGCCCTCTGCTGGGGGCATCAGCTAGTCCACTGAAGCGCCTTAAAGCTGACCCCTCACTGCCCTCTCTCCCTGCAGAGGAAGCCTACCAGAAGCTGGCCACCGAGACGCTGGAGGAGCTGGACTGGTGTCTGGACCAGCTGGAGACCCTGCAGACCAGACACTCGGTCAGCGAGATGGCCTCCAACAAGGTAAGAGTAGTGACAGACTACTTACTTTCTTTTTCTTGGTTGACTGCAGTTGTGGAAGCCACAGGATGTGTGGTCCAGATACCACAGAATGGTTCTTCTGAGGCCTAGCATCTACCTTACTATAAACAAATGCTAACAGAGATCTCAAGGTAGATATTAATAAACCTCAGACCAACCATTATTTTTGAGGGTTATTATGCAGTTATGCAGGCTTCGTCACAGAGTGGTTCCTCTTAAGTTCATTAAGATCTACCTTGAGGTCTCGATTGGTGTTTACGGGCCTCGTGTCTGATTCTTAGGATGGTTTGTTGTTAAAGGCGATGTTTCAGTCCCCACTTTTCACTGTCCCACAGGTCTTATTGTTTAATGCTCATGAGAATGACTTATTAAACAGGAATTTCTATGAAGTCAGTATTTCATCACATCTGACGTAATACATCTACTGACCTGTACCTGTGTTCGTGACCTTGCTTATGCATTGTGCCTGTCACACTTTTCATACAGAACCATGCAACACACATCATCAGTAACCTCATTTCTGTACCAGCAATCAGTCATTAGAACTTTTCTTTGAGGGCCTTATGCCTGGCTGCCATGTTTTTGTCGTGATACACGGAGATGCTCTTATTTCTAAGAGCTGGTCGTTCTTTGAGTGTTTGCAACAACAGCAGCGAAAATCATCGCCCTGCTCCACACTGAGCATGCTCACACTCTTCTTCAAGGCCCCGGCACACATGCAGCATGCTAATCAGCCTCAGCCAGTCAGGTACGCCACAACACCGTGCACGATTACACGCGCCAGCAATGGCACTATTGGTGCGCACACGAGGCTGAGGATTCTATTGAAGTGACTGACTATTAGTGTAAAAGCACCAAATATTCACATCTTTTTGTTTCTCACTCGGTTAACCCCCCCCCCAGTATCCATGGTAACACACAAGGCCTGTCGGCTTGCTTTGTTGCTCAAGCCCACCAGCAGTGGTGGTCTACAACATGCAAAACTGCTTTACAGTCGAGAGATTAGTGTCAGTTCAGATTGATTTATTGTGAATTCATTCAGTGTTATTATTTATTACTAAAATCATAGTCTTATTTATAGTATGTGAATGTACAGAGGTGCTCCATAATTTGTGATGGTTTACAGGTGCCGCCTTATTTTACCATGTTAATTAAAGAAGGGGCTTAAACTATCCCTGAATTATTTGTTCGTAGCACTGGACAATATGGACCGTAATGAGAAAACAGGGTGGACATGTTAATGCTGTGCTATAAAAATGATAAGCAAGTTGACTGTTTGTAAAAGCATTACTTCCTCTGTTAACTGCTGCTTCATTAAGTTCTCATTGAAAGCCTCTATGGTTGTTTTAGAGATTTGCACACTGTCAGCATTTCAGACTTCAACTTCTTCGAAAAAAAAAACTGACCTGATGAATTTATCTGCTTCCAGTAATGAAAATGTTTAGAATAGATTATTCTTACCTGATAGGGTTGTTTCGGCACCTGTAACCTAAAGGTGTTAGAGTTTCATAAGCTGTTCGTAATCCAAAAAAGGCAGATCCATTGTAAAAGAGACTTATATCTTACATTTTCTCATATTTTTCTCGTTTTTTTTCCCCTGAAGTCTGTTATGTGATTTGCATGGTTTAATACACCACAGTTGTCATAATGTATTTTTCCACTGCATTTTCAAACCTCTCTTTATCCCGTAGAATCAGTTCTGTCTGTCCACTCTTTATTGTGCCTTATTGAAAAAGCAGTACTGACTGAAAAACTCCATATAACTTCAATATAAATATTTTATTAATTTCCATATATGGACTGTGTGGACCAGGGAGCAAATGAACATTTTTGAAACCAAATGACATACTACATCAAACAATATCAGCAACACAAGAAAATTCTGTTTTATATTAAATGGGCCCTTTAAGAACAAAGTAGAGAACAATGTAACACAGTATAACTCAGTGTTATAAGTGATGTAAGCAAAAACATGTACAAGCACAAAGTTTTTATATACTGGAGAAACTTAAAAGCTTCCACTATTCAGACCCACAGTAGGGTAGATATTTGTTTTGGGATAGCGAGGTAGATAAAAATGTTATCTAATAAAATCAACAACACTATCATAAAGTTGAAGTAAACAGAAATGGCTTTGAAAAAGCATGTGGCATTAAAGTCGTTCTGAAATTGGGCTAGTTTTGCTGTTTAATTTCCGTGTGTGGACAGTATAGACTGAGGAACACTTTGAAGTTAGCCATGTTTACAGACCATGTCAAATGTCTATTTCAGCTAAGTAAGAATAAAGCTGTTTTCCATGGTATGGGCCCTTTAATCACAAATAAATAAGGGAACATAATGTAACACAGATGATAACACTGTTATAATTCAATTGGTTAAGTCTAAAACACTGAGCAGTTGGTTCATTTATCTTTTATCTAAAAAGCCCATATCTTGAAAAAATGGTTTGATGTAGTCAAACTGTAATAACTGTAAAATTGTAGTAAATATGATAAGTAATCGAAGACATTAAGTTAATCAGCATCAGAAAGTCTATTTTGTGCCACACTCTCAGAATTGAGTTGCTATTTAAGTCCTGCTCTGAAAAAATAGAAAAGAAAAAACACATTTGCTGTGAAATCACAGCAAAAAAATTGTGACCTCCTCCTATTTTTTTCTCTTTTGCCACCAAGAGCGGGCGCGTTAACACCTTCTGGATGTACCAACAATAGAAACACGCACACCCCTGTCCGCATGGGCCCACGCCACCCGATTACGGCTGGCTCATCTGCTCCAGCAAAGCTGCAAATTAGGCAGCATCCCGCTGCTGTCGCTGAGGGAGCAGAAGTGTGAAACAATCCCAGTTCGTGTTGTGTAGGCTCCACTGGCTCTGCTCAGCCGCCTTCATTTACTCACTCTTATATTCTGCCCATAGATCCTTCCGCACCATTTAAAGAAGGAGTCTTTAAATGGTGCAGAAGGATCATATGATAATATGTACATATTAAACTTATGATCATTTTTTAAAATTAATAATCAAGCCTCTTGCATAGTATGATGTATTGATTCCCTGTATGATTCAGTTTACTCAAGATATTACATTTCCCAGTGATGTAGTGATGTTAAATAAAGAAAATAGAAAAGGAGAAAATGAATTGTAGACAGTCTGCGCTAATCAGAATTCTGAGAACGGGTCAAACACAGCATTCTGGCCTAGATCACTGTGTGGAAGTTGTGTCTCTATATTATATTGAATGCAGAGGGAAAAAAACTACATAATAGAGATAAATGTATATTCCATTACTTTCATTGGAGTAGCGAAAATTCTGCCGTCGTCAGTGGCAGTGGTAACGTATCGCAGAGGCAACTAATTAAGTTTTGTTTTTTGCCATCAACTGTGGTGGTCGAATAAACTGGATGTTGCTTTTTTTGGGCAACATGGTCCCAGTGTTGGAGGTCCATGTGGACCCATTATTATATGATAACACAACTAAAAGAGCACAGAGCTTCCTACAGCCTATTTTCCACCTTAAATAAACAATGAACACTATGCCATCGCTAAACTCTCCTCTCATAATCATCCATTTTCACCATCACCATGGCAACATTTCCTGTGCTGCATGCCGCCTTCAGTCACGTATCACTGTGAAGCACGGAATAACATTTTTTCATCACCAACATGTAGATAAATGTTGAGGATTCCTTAAAAAGCATGATTTAGCTAAAAATTTTAATGTGGCTAACAACAACATTTACAGTTCAAAACATTACAAACTTCTTGCATCAGGTAGTACATTAGTTTCCACTATTTGGGCCCATGGTGGGGTATTTGGATAGTGAGGCAGATAAAAATGTTATCTCACAAAATCAACAACACTATCACGACTTTGAAGTAAACCAAAAATGGCATGCGCAATCAAACTCAGATTTCACTAACAGTACAGTGGCGCAATGTCTGCATTGAGAATCGGTCTTTGTTGAAGATTTATGTACAGTTTAACTGAGCAAATTTCTTGGAACTGTGTCATCGTAATGTCTTTTTTGACATCTGACATAAGCTCTCCACTGATTCTTCTCACCAGAGACACTTGTGAATCTTCCTTCCCGCTGAATATTTTATGACCCGGGATGAGACAATGCCTACTTTCAGAAATCATGTCATGCAGATTACCTCAGTGCGACTGACACACATAAACACGCTCATTCACACAGGCAGCTTCACATAATTACAGTCTCCCACGTACAGTACTCTTTGCTCATTTGGCTATAAGGAGGTGTCGTGGGATTCGCTGCGTGTCTGTGTGTGTTTTGCTTCTGAGCTGCATTCATTGACACCACATACAGCCTCCAAATGCAGCTGCACAGCTCCAGAGGAGAGGGTGGAGCTGGAGAACCAGAGCCCTCCTAACTTATTTGAATAAAAGCCTGTTTCCACCAATCAGCTGCAGCAGTGAGCTCAGGCTGCTCCCTAGCAGGTGTGTGATTGGCAGGACTTGGCCAGGCAGAGGCTGCAGTCAGAGCTTCTTCACCTGAATAACTGTGTGAAACGGAGCCTTATTTGGAAGCTGTTGTCTGAGGGTTTTCTGCCTCACAAGCGTGTCAGAGCTAGTGGGATGCGAGGAGTTCACAATGTACTGGAAGAGATGCTGTCTCGAACACCTCTCCTTTAGATTTAGATGGATTCTGGACGTGTAACAGCGGAGTTTGCGTTCAGAAACAATGCATCGAAGAATTTGAAGGAATTTCCGGACTGTGCTTATGGTCTAGCTCATTGTGATGCTGGTAACCGAGGGAGGACCTACTATAAAGGATACTCATCGCCAAACGTTGAAGTGAACTGCTTTTTTATATCTGCAGCCTTGCCATTGTTATCTTAACTTGACTAGCCTGATTCTCAAAATGCCTGAAGCAAATTACTTGCTAACTGTTTCTTGGGGATATATAAAGGTAAGCTGTTAAGTCGTGGACACTCTGTAAGATAATACTGGGAATTAATACACCTCCATTGTTTTGTATTTGTGTGCTTGTATATGGCAGATTGACAGAAAGATGTAAAGGCAAAACCAGTTAGATGAATAGATAAATATAGACAGCTAGAGAGAAAGAGGTAGAGATGCATGAATTGATGGATATAGTACTGTGTAAAAGTCAGAGACCACCCTTCACTCATTTAATTTCCAGTAAAAGCAGCCATTAACACAGAACACAGAAGGCTTAACAGCTAAGTATAATACATATTCCTTTAGTTTTGGAACCTCTTGTTTTTTTCTTTATTCTATTTCTTTATTCTTTTCCATATGCAAGTTATATCTAATCTTCTCAGAAGTATCTCCTGAAAAATTAGCTTGTACTTAAAGGCCATTTTGACTGGAAATTAAATAAATAAAAGGTGGCACAGAGTTGTACATTAATTTAACTGATTATTATTAATGTAGGGACATATCAGTTTCACTAGCTCTGCTGCAGTTGCTGTACGTTCCTGGATAATGGCCCTAAATTTGAAGCCAAGCGCTATTCTTTACCTCCACATTCATCTTCATTGTGTCCGCCGGTCCCCATTGCTGCCATTTCTGTGTCTCGCTTCCCACACAGTGCTATAAAAAAATGCGCACCATGAACATTTCTAACTGGGTTACTGTATCTGCTGGTCTGGACATGGCGTGTCTTTGTTTTCTTTTTTTTAAATATGGTACATTTTCAGGGTGGTTCCTTTTGGAATTCTCACAGCACTACACCTGTGTACTTCTTGTTTCAGTCTACACTGTATTTCTGTTCTCTGTTCTTTTCACATAGTTTTGCATTTCTAGTGCTGTTTTTTTTCTCTAGTGGCTCCCACCTACTGACTAAACAGGTCATTGTGACCTGGTTTTCAGACTGTAGATAGTGAGTGATTCTCTTTTTGTGTGTTATGGCTCATCTGGAGGACTCAGCCTTGAGTTTCCAGACGATCTGGAGCCGTGCAGAGACAACAGACTTGGCAGAATAACAGAAAAAGACCTGGTCCTCCAGAGGGTTTTTTGAGTGGTGTGGGGGGTGTTATCTTTTTTCGAGACAGATGAAGGGCACAAACATCGTCAGAGGACACCTCTTAATCAGTTAATTATAAAATGCAGGGGTGTTAGTCAGGTTTGTTTACTGTATGATTATTATTATTGTCAATTTACGCCTGACATTTTAATAAACGACACCAATTAAAATGTTTGCTCATCTGTCAGGTGCTCTTAAGTGCTGTTAAACAATTTGAAGAAGGTTTGAAAACTTTGTATGTTCCAGCCTTTAATTGTGTATATCTGTGTGTTTGCAGTTTAAGAGGATGTTGAACAGAGAGCTGACCCACCTGTCTGAGATGAGCCGCTCTGGAAACCAGGTGTCCGAGTTCATCTCCAACACTTTCTTAGGTAAGGAGTGAAAGGAAACCCAAATGTGTTACATGTTTGACCAGCAAAACAATGAACCAAATGTATCTGGCATTGGTGATAAAAAGCAGTTTGGATTCAGAGTCAGCTTTTGCTTTTGTACCCTAATGAATCCAGCTGTATGGATGGGTGTCCTGATCATAGATGTTTAATGCATCTCAGAATTATGATTGGCCATTGGTCATCACAAAGTATGGACCATTAGATCTGAACATCATGGACATTAGAATTGTAACTACAAGCATAACATTTTTGACCTGTTAAGGCCTGATTAAATTTTGCATAGGAAATTCTTCTAAAACTTAGTCAGTCAGTCACAAATTTAGTTGCTAGATGAAGCACTGTGTTATCATCACTGCTGTTTGCAGGATTCAGTGTTATTGCCATATCCACATATACAGTACTGTACAAAAACCTCATTTCCAGTGAAAATGGCTATTAAGTACAAGTTATCTTTTTTCCATGTCACATAAAAAACTCAACAGCTAAATATAATATCACAATTTTCAGTATTTAGTGTGTGTAGTGTGTTTACCTTCCATTCTTTTCAGGAGACTTGCTTTTAGTTTTTCAAAGAAATCTGCAGGGGTGTTTTTAACACCTCCAAAGTTCAGTCTTAGATGTTGGTTGCATTTTCTGATTCTCACCATCCAAATAATCCCAAACACATTCAGTGATGTTGAGGTCTGGACTCTGGGGTGGTCAGTCCATTGCTCTGAGAACACCAGCAGCTTCTTTGTTTGATTTGCAAATGTTTTTCTTTTTATAAGTTTCCTTTTCTCAGTACGGGCTACTTGGCAGCTACACATCCTTTCAGACTCTTAGTGTTGACTTATCTTCTCACAGTGGAAGGATGGACAGAAACACGTGTATTTTTAAAAATCTAAAGAAAGAGTGGAGCTTGATGTTCTCCTCTGTCTCAAAGATGAAAGCTTTAAGTGCTGTTTATTTGATGGGGACAGTTTTGGGTGTCTGTAAGTCCAGTTTTCTGTATCTTTTAATAAATTTTAAAACCCCAGTTTTGTAAATCTGTTTTTCACTTCCTTATGCAAGTGGATTATTTTATATTTTCCCAGAAATATCTCCTGAAAATTTTTAACTTGTACTTAATGGCTGTTTTGACTGGAAATAAAATAAATGATAGGTGGTCTCTGAAATTTGCACATTATTTTAGTCAAGCTTATATGAACAGAACAGTTTTTCTCTGTAAAGGATACAGAAATACTTGACAGCTGAGTTTCCCAGATGCTTTGATGTGAGCTGCTCTGACTTGGAGAATCTTGTGTGTGTGTTTGTGTGAACAGACAAACAGCATGAGGTGGAGATGCCGTCTCCTCAGACGCAAAAGGACAAGGAGAAGAAGAAGAGGCCAATGTCCCAAATTAGCGGTGTGAAGAAGCTGACACACAGCTCCAGCCTCTCCAACTCAAACATCCCTCGCTTTGGAGTCAAGACTGACACAGAGGAAGCACTGGCCAAGGTATGTGTGCCACTGAGGAGAGAAATGAGGAATTTTGTGGAACGGTGATGTTCTGTTGAATTGGGTCTTCTGTCCTTACGGCAAAATCTAGCACCTTAGCTTTACCAAAATACTGTCGTAAGCTGAACTGTCTGTTACCTCTTTTATGGTCTGATTAGGATCCATTACAGGTTTTCAATCAAATAGGTGGTCAGTTTCTCTTCCAACAATGAGATCAGATGAAAAGACAAAGGTGACTTTAGCTTAAGTCTCCTGCTGTTTAGATATTTCTCCTGAGCAAAAGACCCCAGTTATCTCATGTCTCTCCTCTTGAATCCTCTTAATAAAGTCACACATTGTGCTCAGATTTTCCAAGATAATAATACTCATGTTTATGTGCAACTAAACTAAAGACACTATTTCTCACGAAGCCCATAAGGTTGGATGTTGTGAGTAACTATTAGGGGCCAGAATGCTGTCTAATGCTTTTATTGTTTATTGTTATTATTGTTGTCTTGTAAAATTCTTTTACAAGAAAAATCTGTGCCAAACTAGATAAATAAATGAAACATAGTGAGAATCAGAATTTACCGTCCTGTTATGTTCAGCTGTACGGAACAGCAATAATGTTCCCGGGCCAAATTGACCTGATGCTTAACCATGTGACCCGATGCATAACCTTCCGAAAGTAGTTAAAAAATAGATTTTCTCCATAAACATCTTTAACTCAGTATCAGTATAATCAATATTTAATGTAATCAAATTTTTCAACCATTACCAATCATTTTTTATTTAAAATTATACTTAAGAATGTTTGACATGTATATTCTGTAGACTTGTGTTTGCCCAGAGGAAGATTTTAGTGCTTTCTTATATCTCATGTTTCTTTAAGTAATTTTAGGAGAATCACCTTTAAGTCTCCTAAGCCATCAAAGCTTTCATTTCATCAAAGAACATTTTTCTTTAAAAATAAATCTTTGATAGCTCAGGAGTCAGCGTCCTTAAGAGAAATAGCATTAGACAAAAAGGAGACGTGAGGTACAGGAGACATCAAAGGAGCGATGAGAGTTTAGTTGAAGAAAAACGGCAGTGAAACTTTTATTATTTTGGCAAATCTGAGTACAGTCTGTGACTTTATTCAGATCTCTACTAAAATTCAATAGGACACATGAGATTAGGAGAAACACCTGAGCAGTAGAAGAATTAAGCTAAAGTCTCTTTTGTCTTTCCATCTGACCTCATTGTTGTCTAAGAGAAACTATAGAGATATTAAGGAGATATCTTTGAGATTTTTCTTTCATGTGGATGGATTGTGTCTGACTACTTTTAGTGTTTTCTGTCTGTATTGCAGATCTTCCTACTTCACTATGTTAAACAATGAGTCTTAAAACATCACCTTTACTTTTTTGTTTTAGGAGCTTGAAGATGTGAACAAATGGGGCCTTAATGTTTTCAAAGTCACAGAGTTCTCTGGCAACAGACCTTTAACAGTTATGATGTACACGATATTCCAGGTACTTTTATTCATGTCAGTTTCTCAGTATTAATAGCATTAGTGCTAATGACTGGTCGAGGCTGTAATCATGCTCCAGTTAAAGATGTTCTTCCTCATACTGCAGGTTGAAACAATTTCTGCTTTTCTTTTAATGGTTTTTTCATACACTGTCTGTTTTTTCTCTGTCCACAGGAGAGAGACTTACTAAAAACGTTCAAAATTCCACTCGATACCTTTATAACGTATCTGATGACCTTAGAAGACCATTACCATAGTGATGTTGCCTATCACAACAACATCCATGCTGCCGATGTCACTCAGTCCACTCACGTGCTGCTATCCAGTCCGGCTCTTGAGGTATGATCCAATCAGCCGCTTTGGATGCTAGATGAACTTTGTCTTCAGCAGAGTTCTCCAGTTCTAGAAGCTCCTGTGTGCAAAGGGCTTTTTAATCATTGACATTTATCTAACATTGCATTTTGATATTTGTTGTTAAATTTAATGGTTCGTAAATTGTTTTTACTTAAAATATTAAGGTAATCTTAGTAATATTAACAGTGCTCAGGCACCAAAATGTTTAGGATCTTCCCTTCTCTGATTTATCTGATTCTGTTAATCATCTTATTACTGCACCTTTAATGAATTCAGTCATTTAGAAATGGAAGACTATAAAGTATTCTGGTTCTCCAGGACTGGAATTGGAGAAAAAGCATTTGCTGTGTGTCTTTTAAGTAATGTTGCTTAAATAGGCCAATTCTGCAAGGAAGTGTAATGACACTTATTTACACTGCTTAATGATTGATGTGTTTAGCGCTTGTAAGTCAGATTGATTAAATAAATTTCAGGTCTTGGGCATAAGCAAATGATGTAGTGAACTAACACGTTTTTCTTTTGCTTCTCTACCGTTTCCCTGTAATAGGCTGTTTTTACAGATCTGGAGATTCTTGCTGCCATTTTTGCCAGTGCGATTCATGATGTCGATCATCCTGGTGTCTCCAACCAGTTCCTCATTAACACTAGTAAGTCTCTTGAGCTCCTTTCTCAGCAGCATAGCACATCTCGCTGACAGAGTGAGAACTTGCTTATCAGTCAATATAATGTCACCATGACCCAATATCTATTTGTGTCTCTATTTCTCTCCCCAAAAATAAACCCTGGAGTGCCATTCTTAAAAGATGTGTTCTAAAAATGCGACTCTCTGCAATGTTCTGTGCTGTTCATGGCCTCCAAAAATTTCCATTTCCTGCACCAGTATATCATCTAAAATATTAGATAACCTAAGGCAGTGATCAATACTGAGTTAGGCTGGTGACGAAACAACACAGACATGCTTTTGATACATGTGATAGTGGACAGTGGTGAGGTCATTGAAAATGAGCTGGGCTTGTGTGTCTTGCCATGTGGCTAGTTTCCTCTGTGTCTAATAGAGCACAATGGATAGATCAATGGTACGCTGGACAGCAGGGGTCAGAGGGGAAGGAACCTGTAGAATTGTGATTGAACACCAACTTCTGCAGTTTGTAGTGAGGGCATGGGAGTCAGACTGGATGTGAAATAAACCATTAACATAAATAGCATGGTATAGAGTCAGTCCAGGGAATCACAGTTGAATACCAAGCTTATAATGGAAAAAGACACTTGTGTAATTCTTTTTATGTTAGTGTCAAAGTTGACTTTTTATTGGCAGTACCAAAGCAAGTAGGGATACCGATGTGGGAATTCTTGGCCAATTACGATGATATTTTTCATGAACATATCTGCCAATACTGATACTGATGCTCAGCCCATTCAGAAGATGTTTATTCACCTTGGTTAATTTTATTCACCTTGATTATTATTACAGAGAAATATGACATTTATTTATTAACCTTTATTAAGGTTAAAAATGCAGCTAAGTAAATAAAATGCTGATATTTTAGCACAGGAACCCAGCATTTCCTAAACATTCTCGCTTCCAGAGTACAGTAATCACATCATCATATATCTGTCAAATCTAAACATCTGTCCGATGTTGATGTATTTTTAAAGCAAATATCTGTCAGTACCGATATGATTCCGATATCATTGTGCATCCCTAAAAGCAAGATTGCTTGGTTATTAATGTTGAATAATCTAAAATGTAGAAAATGTAAAGTGATGTAAAAATTATCTTCTCTTGCCCCTCCCCCCTCTCCTAATATCAGACTCTGAGCTGGCTCTTATGTATAATGACTCGTCTGTGTTGGAGAACCATCACCTGGCAGTAGGTTTTAAGCTGCTGCAGGAGGAAAACTGTGACATCTTCCAGAATCTCACCAAGAAACAGAGACAGTCGCTGCGCAAGATGGTCATTGACATTGTGAGTTCCACACAATTCATTTAAACTGTAAATTTATCATTATTGTTACTGTATATACTGTGATTAGTTGTTTTATTCATAATGAAATTCTGTAATCTCTGCAGGTTCTGGCTACAGATATGTCAAAACACATGAATTTGCTAGCAGATCTAAAAACGATGGTGGAGACCAAAAAAGTGACCAGCTCTGGAGTTCTACTGCTGGACAATTACTCAGACAGGATACAGGTTCGTCATCCACATAACATATGCGGGAGAATTTTATATGAATTACATGATAGAATGACAAGTCCTGTTAACAGTACAGTTATTGCGAAGAATGTTGTATATTTCAGTCATTTTTTGAGATTATGGGAGCTAGAAAATCAATTTAATGATTTATCATAATTTGGTCCAAACTGCACGAAACTCAGACAGGATGGTTTTCTCATGAAAATACTAAGTTCCCATTAAGGGAGCTCTGAGATCAAGATTAAATGGGACACAGTAAAAAATAAAAGTTTTTGTTTGTTGCAGGTGCTGCAGAACATGGTGCACTGTGCTGACCTCAGTAACCCTACAAAGCCCCTGCAGCTGTACCGTCAGTGGACAGACCGCATTATGGAGGAGTTCTTCAGCCAGGGTGACCGGGAGAGGGAGCGGGGTATGGAGATCAGCCCCATGTGCGACAAACACAATGCTTCAGTAGAGAAGTCCCAGGTAAGTGTGCTCTGATCTGGGTGGAAGGCTGGATAAGACTAAATATAGGTAACTGGATGAATAAAAGAATGTAAACCGTTCAAACATGTATTTTCAGTGTATTTTATGTACTGTACATCTAATAAAAGAATTACTAGTTGCATTAAATCTCACTGTTCTCCAAGCACCTACTGAATAATAAGCCTAGGAGTGTAATAGAAGTCATTGAGTTTAATAGTGAATAAATATGTTGTAGGGGTGTAAATCTCTGACCTCAGAATGATGTTTGAATGTGATTCTTTACAAACCATTCAATGCATCATGAAATTTCGAATTTCGATGCAGTTCAATTAAATTGAAATACACGCACACGCACACACACGCACACATTTTTTAAGCCGCTTATCCTTCTGGGTCGTGGTAAATTGAAATGTGACTGGAGAAAGTTTTTACACTATAGTGGAATATAGACTTTAAAAACAATATATTGTATATTGTCACTTTCGAAACAAAAGCTTTTATTTCCAAAATACTAACTTTATTGGAGAAGGGAAAAGAATTGTTAACTTTTAATGTACATTAATGCGGCAAGATTTTATTTTAAGTAATTCTGGACATTTTCTATTTGTCCATTCATGGTGTTTTTTAAATTATATTCAAAACCTAAAAACAACCAAAATTGAGTTTTTCTCTGTATGTACTGAGTAATAGTAAAATCAATGCCACCTTATTTGTACAATCCAAAATTGATCCATTTGAATTACCACCTCCAGATCAATATATCACAGTATATCAGTGCATTTTTAGTAACCTATTAAACTCCATACAACGGCCTGCGATTCCAGGCTTCCATATCTCACTTTGATAAGAACATCTCATTTTTAATAAAACAATTTAAGAGGTTAATCATTTTTGCTGTTCACTCCTCAGGTGGGCTTTATCGACTACATCGTCCACCCCTTGTGGGAAACGTGGGCTGACCTGGTCCACCCGGATGCCCAGGACATCCTGGACACACTGGAGGACAACAGGGAGTGGTACCAGAGCACCATCCCCCAAAGCCCATCGCCCGCCCTGGACACCAGCGCTGAGGGCCGCCGCACCGCCGGTCAGGACAAGTTCCAGTTCGAGCTGACGCTGGAGGAGGACGGAGAGTCGGACACGGAGAAGGACAGCGGCAGCCCTCCGGACGAGGAGGATGAGGATGAGGAAGAGGAGGAGGAGGACGAGGAGGAGAACAGCTGCAGTGACTCTAAAACCCTTTGCACACAGGACTCGGAGTGTACCGAGATCCCTCTGGACGAACAGGTGGCAGAGGGAGAGGAGGTGGGAGAGGAACAGAGGGAGGAGGAGGAAGAGGGTGAAATATCAGAACCCTGCGTTTTAGAGGAGGAAGAGGAGGAGGAGGAGGAGGAAGAGCAGGACACTGCCAATACGTAACACAGTATGAGATAGCACCTGGACTTCTTTTATACTAGAGATGAGAGCCACTTATTTATGGTTAAGCTGTAGGGTTTCTTTTGTTTTTAACATTATTTTTTTTTTTTGTGGTCTATGTTATGTACTGTACATCCTTGTCCAAAAGTGTACATTCATTTTGCTCATCATCGTCATCTTTTCTTGCTGTTTTTACTTTTCATTTTCTGAACTTTTAGTCATCACTAGTGCCGTTTGAACCATTTTTGCACTCAGGAAAGTCTTTTCCACTCACTCATTCACTCACAAAAGAGACAGACAAAAGGACTTGCACTCATCTTTCATTACATTTTTAAGTACTGTCGATTGTCAGTGTTTCAGTTTTGTTGACTGAAACAGTTTTTGAGTATTTGAAAGAGCGATTAATGTAGATTGCAGGATAGTTTGCAAAAAAAAAGCAACCTTACCATCAAACCATCTGTTTTCTCACCACATTTGATTTGATGGACGCTTGATTGCATGGAGACACATGCGGCTGGTAGACGTTTACTACTCACTCAGAAGGTTATTTCTTCCTTTAAGTCTTTCAAATGCTTTATGTGTTCTGTGATTTTGAGTGTTTGAATCATGCAGCGCATAGCGTAGATTGACTCATTACCAAAGTGAATAGAAATGACTCATGGCACAAGCAAATCAAGCTGAAACAAAATTGCAGTCGGTAACTGCCAAAGATTTTTTTGAGTCAGTGGCACATGGTGTAAGAAGAAACTCTTTTTTTTTCATTACTCAATGGAAAGCGTTCTCTGTTTGGTTATTTTTCAGTTTTTTATTTTTTAACTGACCCTACCCTTTTTAAAATGTCTCATTTTTATAAAAAACGTTTTTCAGCATTGCTTAAACCAGCCTTAAAGATTTTGTTGCCTGGCAAAAATGTGAACTCAGTTTTTGCAGTGGATTAAAACAGAGTCTTGCTACACCTCCAGACCTCCAGTGATGTAAAACTATGAAGTGCTCACAAATAGAATGATAGCGCTTTGCAAGCTCATGTTGTTGGATCTTTTGGCAGGCTTAAATGTCCTCTTTTGGCTCTTTTTTATGTTTTAGAAATCACTGGTGCCAAGACACACTATCCATATGTAGACTCGTATAACCAGCTTCTGTCTGATTTTTCCTTCGCTTTATCTTTTTTTAAACCTGTCAATCAGTATTCTCAAAGAAACCGTGGGGGCAGTTGAGCTAACAACACAAATCAGAAGCATATGTAATTTAAACACTACAACAAAACAAAGACGTCTCAGCTCAAATCAGTAGGACGGTTTGTTGATAGCTGGTTGTACGAGGCTAAGACTAAAGGCTAGTAAGTCAGAAAGCGTATATGTTTGTGTTATAGAGTCTCCATGTCTCTGTTTCTGTTCTTCACCCCTGAATCTGTTTTAAAATGCTCATAGGACAATCAGCTTTACTGTAAAGCCTCATTAAGGGTCTGCTAGATCTACTGTAATCCTTATTTTGCTGCGCACATTCTTTATGTGACCCGTCATCTTCACTTTGCCAAACTTTTGCACTCATTTGGATTTGAGCAGTGTTGTACACATCTCTGCCAAACGACCTGCTGCACCAGTATACCTGTTAAAGCTTATTTATTATTTCGGTAACATTTCAATGTAGGGGACATCATAATGTCCTTGTAATGTGCTTTACAAGCCAGTAGTTGGCTATTAATTAGCTGTTTATTAATACTTTATTACGCAGTAACTAGTACAAATTAAACCTTTTGCAGAGCACTTTAATTTGCGTATTATACAAAATAAGCTTTTGCACAATATTTTAGATGTCCATTATTATGCCCTTATTAAGCTTTATCAAACCAAAAGCTGGTAATATGTTCAGCCAATAACTACTAATTAACTGGCTGCCTATTACTATGTTATTTAGGATTAACTTTGGTGAATTAAGCACGTCCTTTTTGCTTCTTATTAGGTCTTACTGGGACTGAAGACCAACGAAAACTAAAGATTTGAAATTTCTTTATTGTTCAGTTCACATGTATTATAGATGATAGATATCATAATTATAAATAATCAAATAAATAATTTGTCTATCAACCCGTCTTTTGGAAGCAATGGCTAATTACCAGTAATGGTTAATTACCAACTACTGGCCTGATGAGGCTTATTCAGAGCTCTGGAAATGCTTAATTCACCCATTACTGCTTAACAGTGTAGTAATTATCAACCACTGGTTTATTAAGGTTTAATAAGTGCAATATAAGGGCTTTATAATGTCCCCTTATTCCAAAGTGTTACCATTATGTGTTGTATTTGGGTCTTGTTGATGTGCTTGTAGCAGATTGAAGTATTTTAGTCAAACCGTAGCTTCAGAATTGCAGGCTTATGAGTGAGTGAGCATACCTAAGAATAATTTGATTATGTATGCAGTTATTATATGTAATCAAATGACAGATGGAATCCCTGCCTTTTTAAACGTTCCTTGCTTTTTGTTGTTTGTTTTTTTCTCATTGCCAAGTTTCTTTCTTCCCGCTTCACTCATTCTCACCCAGTCACCTTACTTTTAGTGGTTCATCATTTCTCTCTGTTTACAAACATGTATTTATTGTGCTGTACAGTACATATTGTTGTTCTTACCATGTTGTAAATTATTATATCATCCCTAATGGTGATGGTGTTGCTGTATTATGGAACTCTTATTGAGAGAATGTTTATTACTCTTATTCAGTATCTAAACGAAACCCATTTATAAAACATCTCCTAAGAGATTGTTTTGTGTGGAAAAAGGTGGAGAAATCCAAAATTGTTGTCATTTATTTTTTTTTATTTTCTTTCTTTAAAGAGAACAGCAGTCCCTTGGCCCGAGGGTTGTGCCTTAAAGAACCTTTTCATTTTGATTTTTTATCTTCTTGCTGCACTAGAAAAAACTACTGGCTGGAAATTGATGTTTTTTTTATTTCTGTTTTTTTTTTCCTTCATTTAAATGTGAGGGATAAATATTCCAACTAAGAACAGACCATATGTGTAGATGCAAGTTGTGGACCTCATGTTAGTGGTTGAAACAGGCCAGTATGAGGGGCATTGAGGGGGTTGGTATCTGAAGATGTCTTGTGCTACAGACTTCAGACTGTAATGCTCCAAATAGGTGCGTATTTCTTTTTTAACCTGGCATGTTTATGCAACGTGATTTTGAGCTGCTCGTAAGATACAATGAGCGTGGGCCAAAGCAGAACTGAAAAGATCTAGCTCTGTGTGAACTGTTTTATGTTTAGACTGTAAGGAAAGAGCATGTTTGACTGCCTGTCTAAATGCAGCAGATGAGTCTCCATCTTGTCTCAGCCTGTATTGCATTAGTTGGACTGAAAAGAATCATGCTAGAACATCACAATCTACACTGTCTTTACTAGCATCTGTGCAACATGCAATATGGAGAAAAAAAGAAAACACATTTCCATTGGGGACAGTAGGCTTTTTTATTTTGAGTAAAGGGATGGAATGTCTTTATGAACTCCAATCCTACAGTGGAGACGAATTTCGACACATATACTGTAGATTCCTAATTGCCCTAAATGGATAGAATCGGTGGCTCTTTTCCTTTTCATGTCATCTTTTTACATCATCAGAAGAATTATTTAGGGATAACTATTTTTTTGTTATGTGACTTGAATGCCAACTTGTCTGGTGGTTTCACGAGACAATGTAGTTGTTTAATGGATTCTTTATTTATGGCAGTCTATTGGATAGAACTGTAGAAAATAAACCTTCTGTAAGAAAAGAAAAAAAGATAAAAATCAAATAAAAAATGTTTTATATGCACCAGAATAAACAAAAGCATGGGTTGACTCTGCCTACCTGTTTGCCTCTTGTTTTGGCTCTAATTTCATTGTCGCTGCTTAAAGAGAGCAGCATGGTGGTGCAGTTGCCTCACAGCAAGAAGGGCCTGGGTTTGATTCCCTGGCCGGGTGACCAGGGTCCTTTCTATGTGGAGTTTGCACGTTCTCCCCGTGTCTGTGTGGGTATCCAAAGACATGCACCCAGGCCAATAGGACATGCTTAAATCCACCCTAGGCGTGAGTGTATGTGCGCGAATGTGTATGTGTGCCCTGTGATGGACTGGCGACCTGTCCAGGATGTGTCCTGCCTTCTGCCCAATGACTGCTGGTATAGACCACCCGCAACCCAGAAGGATAAACAGTTTAGAAAACGTGTGTATGCCCACTTAAAGGGGAATTCTACTGTTTTTCCAGAGTGAATGAAATTCCAACACTTAACTCATGAAAAAACAAAAGTTTCAAGGCCACATTTATTTATCTGTTCTTATAACTTTACAATATATATCAGGGCACACATTGAATAACCAGTCAACTAATCAGCAAATGCAAAACACAGAGCTCGTTCAATAAGTTAAACAAAGGCTGAACAATTATATACATATACATTAGGTAGAAAGAGAGCACACAGATTCAATTCCCCTGAGACAAGCGGGAATAAATACAGCTGATTTCAGCTCATGGCTTCTTCTCTAAAATGACACATACAGGATATTGCACAGTTTAGGAGATCTACTGGGATTACATAAACCTCAATGCATAAGATAAGGCCCGTACAGTGGCATAATGGCTTTATCAGACAGGTAACTTTGACACTGATATTTTGGCACAACTTCACTGTACCCTACAGTTAGCAGTTAGGTTTTCCAGACAGAAGTCTAAACTGAGGACTCCACGTTGATAACGAGTCCAGGTATATGTTTAGTCACTGTGTGGAAAATCAGCCCTAATATTTTTCAGAATTAAACAAGAGATCATCTAACTTGCCTACAGTTTGGCCTGGGGCTTGGTGATGTCTTCAAATACAGAAGCTTGGCAACAGCACAGGAGCCACAAACGCACATGGCCTGCGTGAGTAACGCTAGCAGCTACAGTCGGACTGCTGAGGGGGTACCGGGTTGTCGGTCAGTCTGGCTGTGGGAGTTCCCGTGGTTACAGCAGGGTCCGTCTCAAGGCTGTCAGCCATTTTAGCGCAGATAATGTCCACCAAACGTTCAAAGGTCTGCTTGACATTGATGTTGTCCTTGGCACTCGTCTCAAAGAACTCAAAACCTTTAAAAGAAAGGTAAAGAGTTTTTATTCACACACAATGCTACTATGGCGAACACAACTTCTACAGATTAGAACTTTATCAGATTTCTGATATCAGAATTTATCAGACTAAACTGAACAGGGCAAATGTTCCAGACATATGTCTGTAACGTCTCCACAGGAAATTTGTGATATATATATATATATATATATATACACACACACATACATATACACACACACACCGATCAGGCATAACATTATGACCACCTCCTTGTTTCTACGCTCATTGTCCGTACTATTTGGGTGGTGGATCATTCTCAGCACTGCAGTAACACTGATGTGGTGGTGGTGTGGTGGTGATGTGATCTGAGTGGACCAGACACAGCAGTGCTGCTGCAGTTTTTAAACTCCTCAGTGTCACTACTGGACTGAGAATAGTCCACTAACCAAAAATATCCAGCCAACAGCGTCCTGTGGGCAGCGTCCTGTGACCACTGATGAAGGACTAGATGATGACCAACACAGACTGTGCAGCAGCAGATGAGCTGTCATCTCTGACTTTACATCTACAAGGTGGACTGACAAGGTAGGAGTGTCTAATAGACTTATTAGAGTGCCTCCATACTTAATTCTAAAGAGTTTTGAAAATATCTGTATAACACAGAGCCCTGCTGGTGACATCCTGTATAAATAAAAATAATGCATGGCCACAACTTAGTAAGCCATGGGAACAAAATAATTAAGTCATGGCCACATCTTAGTAAGGTGTGGGAATGAGACAATTAAGCCTTGACCACAGCTTAATAAAGCAAGATCTCGTTCCCATGCCTTACTAAGTCGTTGCTATGAACACATTTTACTAAGTCGCAGCCACGCATTAGGATCTCATTCCAACACATTAATACGGCATCACCCAGCATTAGTTTTATTTACAGAGGAAGTCACCCGCAGGGCTCTGTAGCATAATTCATTCAGTGAGACATGAATAAAGTCATGTTTGACATGAAATGGTAATTTGTCGAGAGAGAGATCAGCTCAGATTCCTTTACAGAGGTGGTGGTAGGTTGCAGGGGTTGCAATGTCCACCATGAAAATACAGCCATTTTATTTACTATCCAAAACAAACTACATGTATCTTCTGAATTTTTGGTTCGTAAAGGTAAAACAGTGGCAAGTCTGAAAAAAACACATTTTCTTCGGGTACTTTTTTGGCCTACATGTACCTCTACTCATTAATGATTTAAATAAAAAAACATGTTTAAGCCCAAAAGCTCCTTGAAACTGTCATAAAACAATGTCTGTTTCTGGAGTTTTTTTATAGTAGGTAAACACCCCTGTAATCCTCAAATATGTGGGAATGTGCAGTCTGTAAAAAGTTATGCGAGTGCAGAAATAATAACGTTACTGCACCTCCTCAGGAAAAATGAATCCAGTCCAAATAGCATTTTAGGCTGCTGAAGTAGAAACAGTTTTTTCCCCTCACATCTTTATGTCTGTGCTCCTTTGGAGAACATGGAGCTGATTCTAGATCAGCTTTCTACCTCTGACAGGCCTGATATATATGAGTTGTTCCATTTCTGCTGCATTCCCATCACATTTATCTCGCTTCAGAGCCCCTTTTGCCCCAGATACCTCACACACACACACACACACACACACACACACACACACACACACACACACACAGACACAGATCAGGAGCGTCTCTCTCACCCAGCTGTTCTGCCAGCAGTCTTCCACTGTCCACAGAGACTATCCTCTCCTCCTCCATGTCACATTTGTTTCCAACCAGGATCACCTGGGCATTGTCCCAAGAGTAGGTCTTAATCTGAGTTGACCTGAGAGGACACACGGCAGACACTAAACAGATTACTCTCCTTATGATACTCACCACTTTATCAAGAGAACTGAGCATATAATATAAATACATAAAAATGAGTTCTAAAAATATTTATATAAAAATATAAACACTTCACCCTGCACACAGTTCACCCTGTAAGCACAATTCCTCACTGTGCATAACTATAACCTACATATCATTTTCACAGCAGTTACTAAATAACTGAAAATCTTAAAATGAATAAGCTGCAAATCTGGTTCAAAATAAAGAAAAACAATTCTCATATTGCGCAAACACAGAAAAACTGCCCTTTCTGTCTGAGTGCCATTTGTAACTGCCAACTCCTGCTTCGCTCTGACCTCCTAATCCTCACTTTTTCTCTCTTGGCATTCCTTAATTGTGCTCCTCTGCTGTGGGGAGATAAGACTACAGCTCAGTGTAAACACAAAACAGCTTAAAACGGGTGTGTCTGCTTCAGCTACCAAAACGTCTCCTAATTCTCAGCTCAATCATAAGGAGACTTGCACACAGCCCCTGAGGACGGCACCAGCAGCCTGAAAGTCCTGTATTCAATCGCAAGAGTAAGGCCACTTACGTCCAAATAAGGCTGCTTAATAAATGCACAGCTGTGCTTTGTCTATTAAGCATAATATATATGCCTTGTGATAGTTACCTTTCCCATACAGACCTTTAAGATAGCAGCGTTCACACTGCTAAAAGCTAGCTGTAGCAAATTAACTGTCAAAAACGAAAAATTGACTGCAGATATTAAAAATATTCCAAATATGATCATTATCGAACGGCAGAATTGAACAGTAATTTTCAGAGTTGAGCTGGAAAACCTCAACCTGTCCTTTTTAAGCTTTTATTTTCTGGCAGAGGTTGCACTTTGAATCTGTGTGACATCAGATTACAGAGGTAAAGTTACGTTCAACCGGGAGTTATTACAGTAACCGCTGTGTTAGGTGTTATTGGCTAAGGTGAGCAGACACATGATGCAAACACTTAGCATTCGGTAAAGTATCATACTGTGGCTATCAAAGGTGTCAAGCAATGTGAGCATTTGTTGGACGAGTGAGATTAGCACAATATGCAGCAAGAACTTAATTTACTTGCACACTCTGTCCAGCAGCTCAGATACCCAATCACAGAACAAGTAAAGAGAGAGAGAGAAGGAACCGCTCGTTTGAAAAAAATGCTCTCTGAAGCTTTTTACCATGGTTTAGGGTTGTTTTGAAAACAGACACTAAAGAGAGTTTGGTACGTGTTAGGCAGGGCTGAGGAAAAGGAGCGGCAGACAAAAAGCTGCCTAAAAATTCTGAACAGCATGAGGGATCACTTGACGTCAGCCTCTTCCCATGGAGTCCCGCCTAACACTGAAGGGCTGCAACCTCTGAATCAAAATGACTAGCACTGTACATTCATGCAGGAACCTGCATGAATTCAATAGATTGAGATAGTCTGATAGTCTGCCATCATGCAGTACTGCTCTGGTTAAACTATGTTGTTCCACCCATTAACTTATCTGGAATGATGCATACACGTGTACAACATCCACGTGTGCTTATTTTATGGACTACTTCAAGTTATATCATATGTAAACATTATGTAAATTGTCATAGCTTTTCCTGTGTTTCACACAGTTCTTGTTCTTCCTTTGTGATTAATCAAATATCTATATGTGTATTAATGAAGTATATATCTCATTTTGGTCATGACCCACAATGCAAACTGTAGACTTTTCAGCCCCCTTCAACTCACCAGTCTTGCACAGCAGCAAAAGACTCCTCATTAGTGATATCATACACGAGGATGAAGCCCATAGCTCCTCTGTAGTAGGCTGTAGTGATGGTCCTGTACCTCTCCTGGCCTGCTGTGTCCTACACAAGAAGTAGCAAAGCTAGCTTTACTTACATTCAACTGACTTGTTCAATTATGGTCAGCCAAGCAAAGCCTTGAACACAGTTATATGGCTGAGCTATGGATTTTCCCATGGAACTGAGATTTCTGTATACAAATAAACTGTGGTAAGTCAGCAGTGCAGGAGGAGGAAATGTGCACTCATTTTGAAGTACGTTAACACCAAGTATGTTAGAGCCATTTCTATTCACTCACCACTAAAGGCTCACAGAATGTAAATGACATCTGACATTTTCAAACAACGTAAAAAATATTACAAATGAAGGTTACAAGGCTCCCTAATGACAGCAAAGATATGTAACGAACTAGAAATTGATCTAGACTTCAAAGTGATCAATGAATATATTAACCTCTGCACTACCAGTGTCTATAGCTGCAGGCGATGTGGAAGAAGGTATGTGTCACGTTTGTTTTGGCATGTCTCTCTCTGAAAGCCAGGAAACTGAACTGAGTTACTACAGGTCAGTAAAAACAAAGAGCTGGTTTCCAGGATATGGATTAACTCTCATCATAGGCTAAAAAAGATATTCAATAGAGAATCACAGGTGAATTCGTGTCTCAGAAATCATACCGAAATAAAACAGCAGCTTCACTAAGACTACAAATCATAATAGACAGATGGACACATTGGTAACTGTAAGGAGACTGAATGTAGGTCACCCGTTAAAGACGCACTTGTCCGTCTTCAGCAGTGAAAATGCTAAAAAGTGGACAGATTGCTGTGATCTAACACATGCAGCAGCCTGGATGCTGTGCGGCTGATAACGAGACACAAGGTCTGGAAATGACCATCTGCAGGAGATGCTTATCTCTTTTTCCATAAGCCCAGTGTTCATCTCTCCACCTGATGTTTCTACAGCCCCCACGGCCCCTCTGGCTACAGTCAGTTTATTTATTTAATGCCCTTGATTTCTTGCTTAAATTTATGTTGTCTAGTTTTGTATATTTATGAAGCCATGCTTTAATTTGTTGTTTATAAAAAATAAATAAATAATGGCATTTTTAGAAAAAAATGTGCAGTGTGAATTAACCCTTATTGGTAAATGGATGGATGGATGAATGGAATGATTGGTGAATGAATGACAGCATAAAAACAAGTACAGATGGATGGGTGGTAGGACTGATAGACAGAAAGACAGACAGACACGTGAAAGATGAATGGAAAGATGAATAGATGCAATAAAGGAAAGGTGGATGTACAAAGGATGGATTAAAGACATTGAAAAAGGATGGATGAAGAATGAATGGATGAAAGGAAAGATGGATACATGTATGTATGAATGGATGGATGGAATGAATGAGCATAAAAGGAAGTACAGACAGATGAATGACTGGTAGGATGGATGAATGGATGCATAGATAGATAGATAGATAGATAGATAGATAGATAAAGGATGGGTGGAAGGACAGATAAAGGATGGATAGGTACATGAAAGAAAAGGTGGATGGACAAAGGATGGATTAGACAGATAGATAGATAGATAGATAGATAGATAGATAGATAGATAGATAGTTGACAGATGGAAGGATAGATAAAGGATGAATAGATATATGAAAGGTGGATGGAAAAAAAGAAGGATGAAGAATGAATGGATGGGCGGATAGATGAATACGTATAGATGGGTGGATGGACTGATTCATGAATGGATGAAAGCATAAAAGGAAGTACAAATGGGTGCTTGGATGGATGGATGGATGGGTGGATGGATGGATGGACGGGTGGTAGGATGGATGAATGGGTGCATAGATAGACAGGAGATGGACTGAGGCAATGATAGATGAAGGATGGATAGATACATCAAAGGAAAAGTGGATGGACAATAAATGGATTAAAGACCAGTAGAGATGGAAAGAAGAAGGGATGAAGAATGAAATGGATGAAAGGATGGATGGAATGATTAATGAATGAGTGAAAGCATAAAAGGGAGTAAAGATGGGTGGATGGATGGATGGGTGGTAGGATGGATGAATGGATACAAAGATAGACAGACAAACAGACAGACAGACAGACAGACAGATAGATAGATAGATAGATAGATAGATAGATGATGGACAGATGCAATGATAGATGAAGGATGAACAGATACATGGAGGGAAAGCTACGTGGACAAACAATAGATTAAAGACTGACAGAGTTGGAAAGAAGGAGGGATGAAGAATTAACGGATGGATGGATGGATTGACGGACAGATAGATGGATGGATGCATGTGTGGATGGATGGATGTATGTGTGGATGGGTGGATTTATGTGTGGATGGATGGATGAATGGACAATCACGTGTTCCAAACCGGAAGAATCTATGAGTATTAAGAACAGGTGAAGTGACCTCACACGTATATCAGCTGTACCTCCTGTTATCTAAACACTCTCCAGTAATGTAGCTGTGATTTACAGCAGTGTGTTAAGGCGTCGTGCTCAGAGCGGCTCACCCAGATCTGCAGTTTGATCCTCTTGTCGTTCTTGTAGACGGTTTTGACTTTAAAGTCGATGCCCACCGTGCTGACGAAGGCCGAGGTGAAGGCGTCGTCTGCGTAGCGGAACAGCAGAGAGGTTTTCCCAACACTGCTGTTCCCGATGATCAACAGCTTAAACATATAGTCGAAGTTTTGGTCCGAGTTCTCTTTCTGTTTGCCATCTTGAGTGGCAGCCATCTACCAGGGACACAACGGTGGAAGAGACAGTCATTTAGGTTTAGGTAGAACCAATAATACAAGAAAAATAAAAGAAAGACCCTGAAGCCTTATTAGCCTGCAATTAATGCTCTTAGTTGAAATTACGAGGATTCTGCGTGATTTCTAATATAAGCAACTGACGTTAAGTTAGCTTTCCATTAGTGTTCAGATATGACCAGACCCTTTAAACAGACTACACAATAATACTTCAGTAGGTAAAGAGAATAATAACAATATTTCACCAAGCAGACCGAGCTAAAGCTACATTAGCCTGCTCTGCTCAGCTCAGCTCCTCATTATTTCGCACTAGTTTCATCCAGACGAAGCCCGAGGCGCCAGAATGTAACTGCTGCACCATTTAAGGTGGAACTGGAAAATTCAAAGAAGAAGCTGGAGAATAGGAGAATACTCCAGCCTCGTTTCATCCAGAATCAGTCGCAGATTAATCTTTTCATCTAATAAATACTTCACTGGTCGCTGCACTGATAAAGCCTTTAAATCGTTACTTTAAAAATACGACATTTTACTGAACTGATTAGTCTGTTTACTCTTTGCTCCCCTTCGACACGCATTGTATTTACCTAGCAGTCTTACCTTTCCGTATAAATCCATCTCTAGACCTTTGCAGATAAGGCGTTAAAAAGGCAGATCTTGCCTTAAACCGGCTGTTTTTTGGTCGAGGTGGACGCGGCTTCTGGAATAAACCCTGGGCTAAACGCTACTGATGCTTCGGACGTCACTGCCTCTCTCTCTCCTCCCATTTCCATTCATCCTCATCGGCTCCTGGTGCTGAGCAGTAACGCTCCGTTTGTCCAGAAGGGGGCAGAGCTGAGCTGAGACGGTGTCCGGCCTCGCTGAAGTGGCCTGGATTTATTATTATGGAAAGCCGTTTTAGCCCTTAATCCAGAGATTTTATATATCAGAAATTTAACATTAACATGTCATGAAAAATCTCCTTCTCTTAGAAGGAAATATAGCACTGTAAGAACTGAATTGGAGTGTCATATTGTGATGATGTTAGGTTACCCTAACACATCACCACGCAATTCACCTTTCCTCAATAAATACTATGGTGACTTTTATTTTGATGTTGTAAATATATGAGAATATTCAGATTATGTTTTTCCAAGGCCTTAAATAATGTGGAGAATTTTTTCCACTGGCATCCCAAATATATAAGTAAAATGTTCGTTTTTTTTATTATAAAACAGACCACCTGAGCAGTTACACAGTCCCATTTAAAATGTGGTGGGTATATTCTCTAGAGACATTTCAGGCGTAGTGTGTTTTTTGGAACTTCCCATTGTTTAAAAAGAATACCTTTGAAAAGGGGTTAACATGAAAAGTGAGCAACTACAACCAGTAATCAGTGAGTAACACAAGCGTTAGACTACAGTTGAGGAGTTTGATGTATCTGAACTACAAATCCCGACTGAGACATTCCTGCTTCGTTCTGATTGGTTGGTCTCTGCCCAGCCCACAAACCATTCTGGTCATGGAGCATAGTGTTGTTTTCAGGTAGGTCACGTAGCTGCTGCGTTTGTGCAACAAATTTAAATTTTATTTTGGTAAAAAATGCTATTTATGTATATTTAATCTGGACTAACTTGCTGTTTGTTGTGCGCAGACCAGTTGAACAGGCACAGAGCAGGAATCTCATGTGTCTGTGTGTGGTGTAATAAACTAGTTGCTTTTATTTTTGTGTTGTAGTTGTCAGTGTTTGTATGTTCCAGGCATATTTACATGCATTAACGTCTGTTACTACGCTGTAACTAGTCTTCTTCGTGTCTGGTTTAGCTTTGTTGGTTCAGTATTTGGAGAGTCTGTTGTTAAAATCAAAACTTTTCTAGATTGTGCTTGGCGAGAAACATGGGGTCTTGGCGCCCCCTCCTGGATTAACAATAATATTAACAGTACAAGTGTCTTTCCCATTGAGTCTCCTGTCTTCATCAACCCGGTAACCAGCTTTACCCTTCCAGAACACCCACATCCCCTGACAACCCTGTCTTGCACTTTGTATCCCTATAACCCAATGGGGAATTACACAAGTGTTTCAAAATGTGTGCATAATTAAATGATTCAGATCAGGGGTGCACAACTCCAGTGCTGGAGGGCCGGTGTTCAACACAGTTTGGTGATTTATCTGCTCAAACACACCTGATGGCAGTCATTTGTTAACTGCCAGGTTTAGTGAGTGTGTTTGAGTAGGACAGGGGGCGGCAACATGGAGAGGGGTCTGGCTGTTGGGGCAACATGTGGCTCCACAGCAGAATTAGATTTTTAGGTAAAAGATAAAATAATCCTCCCTTTGCAGTAAAATAAAGCTCTGCTGATCATTCAGCACAGTTTTAATAATAAATGGTCTTAAACGCTGGGGTTAAGCTATAATTGCAAATTCACCAACCTTTAACCCTAAAAGTTGGCGTGCGACTGCTTATCACCATAGCAACGCAGATCAGTCTCGCCTAGCTAGTAGCTAGCAAAATCACCAAGTAAGAGATTTAAGACGAATATCGAGAATTTGGAGACGAACAGACTTTTCGTTTATAAGCACTCCAGCTGGTTTCCCGATACTGTAATGAGAAACTGTTGAACATTATAAAGTTGTGAAGCTGATGTCAGGTTCTCATTTGTCAGCTCCGTTTCGAATTGTCCCGCTCCACCTTAAATAGCGTAGCAGTGACAGCCAGGCGCCTCAGGCACCATTTAAGGTGGAACGGAAAAATTCGAATCAGAAGCTGGCGAATGAGAAGCGACTTCAGCCTCGTAAAAACATGAACGTCAGGAGACATTTTACTAGGAACTATTCTACTTCTGTGGAAGATGTTCCTGTTGGAAAGCGGCTATAGCTGAGCCTAAAGCTTACAGCAGAGTAAAGTAAGTCTGAGTTTTCGTTTAGTACATTAGCACATACTAAGACATATTTACAGCCAAGATGGTAAAATGGACAAAATGTTGTGGCTCCCAAGGTGCTTGATTTTTGTTGAAAGGACAAACTGGCTCTTCCTAAAGCACGTTTCACACCGGACGCGACTATAAACGTCTGTATTGTCCGTTTATCTCATATAAACTTTATGTAGATGACAAAGAGATCAACAATAAAATCCTGACTAGCTGCCGTAACTGTTGCGAGCTTTCTCTCCAGGTGGTGTAGCTCTATATGAAGAGGAGGAGATGCTTGTGTTCACAACATTAACGACCCAAGGCGTTTCAGTCCACCTGTCAAAGAGTTAAAACTAGATTTGTTGATTTGTTTATTAGCCTAGTTTGTATATTATAGCATAGACATTGCATTTCTTTACTGTTTCTGCATAGAATCTGCTGGCGTGCTGCGCGCGGCACGCGTCAGAAATAGGCCCAAAGCGTATTTTTGCGCTTCACGCGCGCGTTACCGCCACGGTGCCGCGTGACGCGCGTGGCCGCTGTGAAAGGCTACATTGATTAATATACGAGCGTATTGCCGACCCCTGGAGGAGCGAAACCACCAAGCTGTGCTGGTCACCGGCCCTGCAGGACAGGAGTTGTGCACTCCTGATTAAAATGGTCAACTAAGCCATTTGGTCTAATGTGAAATGCAGTGCTCACCAACCCTGGTCCTGGAGATCCTGTGAACTGTAGTTCAAACCAAAATCTACCACACCTGTCCAGCTAATTAACTTCTTCAGAAGTTCATTATTGGTTGGATGAGGTGCATAAGAGAAAAGGGGGAGGGGGCAGCAGGTTTGAAACTAAGCTTTGCAGGAAGGAAGGTTGGTGATCACTGTTCTAGAGAAGAGAGTTGTTCACAGTGGTGATGATAGGAACCAGATGTCTGAAGAGTTTAATGCAGGGTTACTCAACTCCAGTCCTAGAGGGTCCAGCACAGTTTGGTGATTTATCTGATGAAACACACCTGATTACACTCATTTGTTAATAGCCAGGTTTAGTGGGTGTGTTTGAGTAGCAAAACCACCAAGCTGTGCTGGACTCCAGCTCTCTAGGACAGGAGTTGTGCTCCCCTGGTTTAATGTCTCTAAAAGCTCCCTCATAGAAAGTTCTTACATGAAACGATTATGAACACACTGCTTGATGTCGGAGATTAGGGTGGGTGATATGGCAAAAATATTTGATCACAATACTTAAAGACATTTTCATGATAAATGATATGCATCACAGTATTTAGTTCTTCTGAGATTTGAAAGTTGGAATGGACACAACTGGGGGAAAAATAAATAAAAATCAAAAATATTATAATAAACCTACAACTATGATTAAACAATGATTTGTATTTAGTGCTTCACAAACTGTCCTGCACTAAACCCAATTAAGTAGGAATATGGTCACTTTGTAATGAAACAGTCAGTGTTCTTTAACAACTGACATTATCCACCATATTCTCAGAAAAATGTATTGAGACATAATTTATCAGGATAATGATAAAATGACATCACACTACCCACCCTTACATGAGTCAAATATATTTTTAGATAAATTTATGGTGAAGGGGTAAACTAAGGTGGTTGGGAGACAAAATAGTCCCTAAAGATTTCAGGTTTACCAGTATTTTATCATTAACAATATTATATATAAAAACTCAGAAGACACAGGTAGGTTCATTGATCATTAAGATATTAAATAAAATGGACATATTTGTGTTGTTGACATCAAGACCCCTGGTTCCGTTCACCACCACTGTAGTTTTCTTACAATGAACCATTTCATATCCAACAACCGTGAATGACTGTGTTTACATCAACTACTGAGTTATGTAGAAATTGTAAAAAAAATGTGGAATTCCCCTTTTTCACTGAAGAAGAAAAAGCACTTAAAGGTAGTGATTTTGAGGTTTTTACAACAAAAAAGTCAATGTGCCTGAGTGTAGTTTTCTAACTCCATTAAATAAAACAGTTAACCAAATATGGACTTTCTTAGCACAGTGCCAACAAGAGTCAAACTGGTGCGCAGGGTAGACAGGGTGGGTTTCTGATCCCTTGCCTTGGTTTCTGTAGTGAGATGATCTGAGGTCAACTGATTTGGATGTTCAGGTAAGTAAACCCATATGTGTTATGTATGTGGAAACATATTTGGTCAGCAGAATATATAACTTATTCAAGCTGAGCGTTGGAAATCGTTTTCAGGGTTTGACCATGGAGGACTCTGTTGAAGTCATTCTTCAGGATAATAGGTCCAAGTTCTCTCATCACTCTCCAGACAAGCCAATCCTCACGGCTGCCTCGGGAGCTTTGCTAATGAGCTTTTATGGGCTTTGGAGTATTTTTGCCCTCCCTGGCTTTCGGAAAGTGCCAATAAATCTGAAGGTATGTGGGTGTGCAGGTGGTTTACTGCATAAACCTGTGGACCCTTGTCCTGCAAGAGACTCAACACCAGAACTAAAGCATAAAAAAGTAAATTATTTAAATAGGCAGAAAAGCCTTCTGTATATTTGTGTGATTGATGTGCAGAGCCACGCACTCAGATAAACATAGATGAAGGCCAAGCCTGTGCCCAGTGACGGTTAACCGAGTTACCGTGGTAACAGTCCCCAATGACAATAATTAACAAAAAAAAGCCCTCATTTTTACCACAGGTTCAAAAATCTGTGGTTCATTTATTCATTTATTTAAAGCAAACCACAGCAAGGCACTAGTGTTCACACTAATGAAACTTTTAAACACGTTGGTGATATGATATCCTACATTAATGGCACATTTATTGTACCTGATATAGATGAGATTGTTTTAGAAACACACTTGTTGAACAGCACTTACCAAACATTTCCTTTAGAACATCCTCAGACCACAGCATCAGGTTCCATACACAAGACAAAACAGCTTCATGTGGAACATCATGTTTCAGCACTCATATACCAGGCGAAACATGCTGTTTCAAATGGCCTCATGTGAAATAACTTCAGAGAAAAAGGCATCAAGTTAAGCCAAGCTGAGCGACCTCAAATTGTAAACTTCATATGACATTCGCAATTCCGTTCTGTATAACTAGATTAATTACAGTTTTGCGGCCAAATTAAAGATGGGAATATACTACAAGCGCGACCGCACTTTCATTACGTTCCTTTATTTCACAAAGATTACGCTTCATTGTTATGTGCTGTCTCTGTGTTTGCTTACTGTGTCTGCTTCAGTGCCAGTTACTGTCTCAAAAATTCCCTGATGAAAACCATTTCTATCATTATTTTAATGAACATTGCTCTGATTTGGTGGCTGATATTGCAAGACTTTACAATATGCTTGATGATGATGTCATCAAACTATCTGAGTGAATTATAATAAAATACAAATTCATTAACTCTAGCTACATTTAGTGGGACATACTGATGGAGCTGGTGGAGCAATGCCCAATTAAACTACCCCCAGATGCCAGATTGCCCTTGCCCTCGATATTTTATTATTTTCCATACTTCTTGATCCAGTGCATGGAAAACACCAGCATATTCATAGCAGGTGTCCTCCAGAACCAGCCTTGGGAATGTTTGACATAAAGAGTGTCTACACCATGTCTTGGCTGTGTCCTTATTGATTTCTGTCACATCCCCTTGTGCTCACAGTGGTAAGTGCTGTCTGTACTGTGCAGGTGCCATACTTGCCCTCAAGTGGCGTGCAGACCCAGAACGTCATGCGGCTCCTGCAGGGCAGAGCAGGCTCTCTGGCCGACCTAGGCTCTGGAGATGGAAGACTGGTCAGTGCTGAAGGCAGAGTGATGGCTTTTTAAGAAACACTATCATCAATCAGCAGTCAGCTAGCCTTAGTGAAATAACAGGCTTTCTTATATGTTTGACCCAAAAACAGTCATTGTAATTTTGATATTAACTTTCGTACACCTGTTGACGGCTCCAGACTTCCATTTCTCATCCCAGTAATTTAATAATAACTTGATCATTTGCGTTGTTTTCCTTGTAGTTTCTGAATAATCAGTCTACAACCAGTGGCATGGGCAGAAATAAATTTTGGGTAGTTGTGTGAAAAAGTGGGTAGGCCAACTTGGTAGATACAATTTGCTATGTTTTGCTGTGTGCAATTCGGCTGTGTACCGCAGTGTCGTAACACTAGGTTATAGCCAATTGCTGGCAGCATCAATAAAAGACTGTCTCTGCCAAACCCCAGTTAATGGGAAGGTAGGCTGCTCATACAGTTAATGACACATAATACAGCAAAATGTACCTGTTCATTTTTTAATCTTGTTACATGATGGTGTGCCATTAATATGCTAGGAAAAAGTGAACTTTCTTATGCTGGTTTTAGTATATCATGAATAGGTAATACATTCATTTTTAGTTTGGTTTCTGATCACTAATATAGCCCAACCCTGCTTAAAAGAAGACCATTAGGATTACAAGGATTGGTTTTGCCTTCTAATGGGAATTGGCTTAATGGTTGCCACCAGTTTCCTGTAGGACACCCTTAGATCGCATTAGGAAACCATCAAATGCTCCGGGAATCAGTCCCAGGTCAGCTGTGAAACCATTAGGGTGCTTGACATTGTGACATCAACACATCAGGAAATCACAACATACTATTACTGACTGTTGGACACCATCAGAAACCAACAGAAACTTTTGTTTCTATTATTTTTTTCAGCTAGGAGCTTGTAGCCTAAAATGTATCTACTGGAACTAGGCTGAAGCATGCTGATTTAACAACATTATGAGTGGTCCAAATAAAAAAATCAACTACAGGGTCTGTATTTTACAAATTCTATAAACTCACATTTTATGTGTTGTATTTTAGCCTATAGTGTGTAAGCTGCATACCTGAACTTCTCAGGAAGTCACAGTTACTCTGGGTAACTTTAGCGTAACGTCTAGTACAGAGCTAAACATAACGGGCAGTTCAGTCTATGGCCAAACTACAGCTGTTCTGAGGTCAGCTCAGTACCTGTCACTGCTTATAAAACACTTCCATGCCAGTTATGAACAGGACAGGCACTGATAACAAAATGAAGGCTTGAGGCAATGGTGGATAGAAACAGTTGCTAAACAGTGATTTTAGGGCTGAGAATATAAGAAGCTTGGCAGAGAACGATTTATGATTTTGACTGGCCATATTTCAGCAAAACTGTCAGAAAAAAGTTAATCTAACTTTATAAAAAATGCGGCTTAATAATTTTGATTGGATGGCTATGCCCCTGTCCATTTTATTTAAAGATAAAATGATAAAATGTTTTACTCTCCACAATGTATGACAAAACACTTACCTACTGAATTAGAGGAATGCTTAGATTTGTGATGGACAAGCATCAGATGAGCAAAGGTTGTATGAGTTTTCCAGCCTAAGAAGGGTCTTTGTAATGTGTGGCTTTTTATCACTGAAAAAAGAGTGTGCAGTAGTGCACTGAAACCTGAATTGGACAAGGTGCTAAAAATACCATTGACAGAGAAATAAACATATTTTAAATATGAAATGTTAGTTATTTACTACCAAAACATTAATATACTTGGTACAAATACATACTGTATAGCACTGTTTAAAGCTGTAATGATTCTTGTTTGGACTGTTTAAACTTGAGTAACTCAACCCAACATATTTTGTCATCTTATTTCAACATTGTTTGATCATTATTAGGTCATTGTAAGAAATGAATATTGAGTTAGATCCAACAAGACCTTTTTTACCTTGTAGCTAGTTCACTGCTGTAGCTTGCCATGCTATGGCTTCACCACAGCACAGCACAGGTTCATTCTGGTTCTGCTTCATTGACGCAAGTTTAGAGAATAAGCTTTGGAACATGTGTCACAAAAATAACACACTTTACAATGAAGCACTGCATCGATGTTTGGTTCATGTTCCAAAAATAGAAACCAACTGCCACAGGTTTTCATGATTTTAGGTCAATGCCAAACGCTTATATCTTACTTTGAGTGTCATAAATGAAGCTGACACCTTGACTATGTGAGAGTATATAGGGCAAAGTTATCTGTGAATAAGGTTATGCTTGAGTTTGTCAGGATTTCCTAATAATACCAGTTGTAAACATCACTTCTAAGGTGATATAACTTTTTTTTATCATGTAACACAGCCCTGCATCATGTTTATGTTACTAATTACATTTAGTGCTTTAGAAACCAAAGACATACTTTTAAATCAATCACTAGGAGATAAAGATCTAGTGATTTAAAGCTGCTGTTCATGTTTTTAATCACCAGGTGTCATTAATGTGCACTGATTTTAAAAGCTTTGAGTAAGAAATCCTTTTTCGCTACTGTTTAAAGAAAAGCTTCACTATGGAGTTTGTAGTGAGGAAAGTTGCCACTCTTTTATGTCCTCTGGGTTTGACAGATGCTAGAGGGTGCTCCCAAAAAGTCCAAAATGAATTGGTTAATATGGTGCGTTTGAGCAAAATCATAGTTTGTAAATGCTCAAACATTTTTTTTATGTAAAAGAATGCATTTATTTACTGAACACAGACCTGCACAAACATTTTAAAACTGCTGTTATATTTTTAAGTGCTTTTGAACTTGTTATAGGACTTATACTGGTGCCTCATGTATGTTCATGTCATCAGTGAGCGGAGCAACCAATCAGCACTCAGTAGCAGTAATGTTATCCAGTCAGCACTCAGTAGCAGTAACACCAATCAGTCAGCACTCAGTAGCGGTAAATCTAGTGTCCCATCGCCCAAAACGTCTTTGCTGTAAATATACTGTTAAGTTTTAATTGCTTTTTTTAGTGAAAGACATTCTTTAACTTTTTTTTGTTTTTAGCTGTTTAGCTCCATTCATTTAGTACTCGTAGGAACCTTCTGGCATTTTGCAGTTATGTGTTTGATATAATGCATGAAATAGGAAGTGGCCAGGCTCCCCTTAACTGGCTCTGGCTTTACAGCTTCAGAAAGCTTTGTTTTGGCCATCCCTGCTGCAGGGTAGTGGGCATAAGGGGTGGCATTTACAATTTGCATAATCGTGCATATTGTTAGATCTCTGTATTTATAATAAGGGATGCTACTATGCCACTTCTTGTAGTTTCTAGTAATACCACAATAATACATAATAAATATTTAACAATTTATTATTCAACATAGATTTTTTTGTGTTTAAATTATGATTTTAAGGGCATTTTAAAGTTTGTCCATTTTGTTTTAAACAGCAGCAGTACTGTCCTGCTCTCACAGTTTTTAGTACAGTAGGTAAGAGTGTGAGGGAAAATGTTTGAGCTGAAACATGGTGAGAATATAGAATGACCTGCTGGATTCTGTGAATACAAACATCACTGTAGTGAAATTCTGAGCAGCTAATATTGCACAATGGATGACTCCTGGGAGTAAAAACAAGTGTAGAACATTTTCACACAGTCACAAGTAGTTAGTAGTGTCTTGGATTACCTGATCTTGTTATACCTCTTAGGTCTGTAGAGGAACCAAAGAATTTAGGTCTAGATCAGATGAGACTGTTCTTTGTTCTCATTGAATGTATTTTTGCAGGTGTTTGCTGCCTCCTCACAGGGCTTCCAGTGTACTGGGTTTGAAATAAACTCCATTCTGGCAGGCTACGCCAGAGTTAAAGCACGATGGATGGGAATTCCAACAACAACAGCAAGATTTGTCAACAAGGACTTCTGGAAGGTATCTGTGTGAATATTTGGCTTTTTGGTTTCAAAAATCTTTGTCATAGCCCATACAGACATCTGATATATGGCCACATATGCACATGTATCGTAAAGGGTCATATATATTTCAAAATATATGTACACATTTTATTTCTTTAACCGTATTGGCTGCTAGAATGCTGTATCAACCAAATACTGTGTTCCGTTGCTACCTCAGTGACTGCTATGCTCATATATGCTAGGCTGTCTGCTAATATGTCATAGTATGTTACATTTTGTATATTGTATTGTTTTGAACTTGTGTTCCTGTGCTGCACCATGATCCTGCAGGAATGTTTTTTTGTTTCACTGTGTACTTGTATATAGCTGAAAATGACAATAAAGCCTCTTGAACTTGAACTATATGTCCATATGTGACTAATATAAGCTGGACATAGGGGAAATGCATATATCGCTGTTGTCGGAAGAAAACCCCTGTATCTCCATTTTTGTCGTTTTTTTCAGTTTTTGACATAATTTGAAAATGCTTGTTGCCCTTTACATTGTATTTGATGATGAATGGACTAAAAGAAATGACTCAAAATGATATGGAAAAAATTCTGGTTCCATTGACTTACATTAAAAATGAAGGTTTTTGCCTTCTCCTGTAAAGTTACCACTTTTGGAGATAGGTAATTTGGAGAAGGTTTTCTTCCGACAACAGCAATATGTTAATATATGTCATATATTTGAAATCCGTATATTGCCATATATCAGATTTCCATATGGGAAACCATAAACAGATTGGACATTGGTCAGCAGACTGACACGTTGGACGGCTAGAGAGTTAAGTCCTGCTAATTCAGAGGACAGTAGAAAATGGGAAACTGAGAATGAAATTGTCATGTTTAATACATGATTGCAGTTCATTTGCAGTTTCAGAATCTTCTCTGTTTATCACTGTGGACACATCTGAAATCAAGTTTCTTATTTTTTTATTTATAACTTCCAAATGTCCTATTACTATCTGAAAACCTGTGAGGTTGTTCAGGACATATTACCATCATTTTGTAGTCTTGTCTGCAGCCAAATTAGTTTTATATTATTGAAAACAGTGATTACAAACCTCTGAACACTAGTGTACATCTATTCCTACATCTTGTTAAGTGCTTATGATTTTTATTGCTAAGCTCATTGGTGCGTTCATGATTCTAAACAAAGTACCAAACTGTTTACACTGACAAACCTGATCTACTGGCAATGCCTAAGATAGATTTATTGTCATATTTTCAGCATTAGGACAGTCTGCTGTTTTGGCATTAGCTCTTCTTTGGGGCTTATGTTAAGAGAAAAGAGCAACAGACTCAAAATGCAAATGCCTTATCTAGAATTCTACATATATCTAGAACTCTGAATCCTTTTATGAGCTCTCTTGTGCGTGAACTAATGATGCAACAGTGCACGTCTGGCCATGAAACAATGGAGTTGTCTAAATATTTATGGTATCCTTAAATGGAAGGGGGTGGTGATGTAATTCCATAACTTTCAGCCAATATACATGTAAATGTCCTTAAATGATGGAATTAATTTTGTTAATTTCACATTCTACAGACCAATTTGTCTGGATATAAGAATGTGACGGTTTTCTTGGCACCTGGAGTGGTATGTAGAAGCAGATGCATTTGCTTATTTTTGTCTTGCTCTGATATATATGCTAGAAAGTGTCTAGTAGAAACACATAAAAAATGAGTGCTGTACTTCAGACTTCAACAGTAATTAAGTTATCTGCTGCCCATTAGGGTTATGGCATGTGGCTTCAGTTACCTTGGTGTTACATACATGTTGGTGTTGTGTTTTGTATTTTTATGTATGGGGTTCTCCACAGATGGAGGTCTTGGGCAGGAAGCTGGAGGAGGAGTTAGGAGATGATGCTTGTGTAATCGCCTGTCGTTTCCCGTTTCCTGACTGGCCTGCTGCAGCGTCTGAAGGGCAGGGACTGGACCAGGCCTGGGCCTACGACATGGCCAACGTGCGCAAACCCTCAACATGAGCTCCAACAGGACCATGTCAGGTCTCAAATCTTCAAGTATTTCCTCACTGCCAAATCTATGTTTATGAACTGACAAGGGCTAAATTGCTTCAACCTGCAGTAAAATGTTGACTGTGGCTTTAAATGCTTTTTACCAAAAGCGGTGCCACTATTACATCAACCTCTAAGATATAAAACAATAAACCACTGAGCTGTTTTTTATGATGATTCGCACATGGATAGATAATGTGATGGAGGTTGTAGAGTTTGTGAGTCAGAATCAAAACCTAACTGTGAAACTGTCAGCCAAAATGTGAAATTAAAGCCATATATTTTCGGTGTGATCTGTAGGAGCTGTAATCCAGGTGGCCAGCATGAGTTCATCCAGTGTTCTCATAAAACATGTTTAATAAATACTACAGTGATATTTCTTACAGTTCATCAGCGGTTGTGTATTATCTTAACAGTGTATTGAAAGGGTATACATGGTGTAGTATATTTACAAATTCAACATTGTGATACTCACCTATGTAATGTATATTTTAATCAGTGCTAGATTCAGTAGGCCTTTTAGTAATCAACAGATATAAGCACAAAAAGGATGGATGATTAGCTCAAAAGCTTACAGTACAAAAAGGTTCTGACCCAATATTGCATATTGCATATTGCAAGTCCAACAGACTTCGATCTGAATGAACAATTCTGTATTTAATTAGTTTCAGCTGTAAAGTTCAGTATTTGTGGTATGATGATGTGATGGAGCTGTGAGGACAGACAGTTGGCGCAGAATCATTACTATCAATGGAATATCTAACAAAACTAATCTGATTGGCTGAGCTATTTCCAAAAACACTGAAAACACACATATGAGCACACACATCAACTGAATTCTGACTAAAGCCTACTTAATGAACTTCAGCACTTGGCAAAAAATATTTATCTATTTTAGATATTTTCTATTTATTTAATTTTTTTCTCTTTTTAGTTTCGTTTATTTTTGCAGTTTTATTTGATTTTGTGACACTTTACTAGTGCTTATAATTCATTTTTCTCTACTACTTTTGATTAAATTTCTGTTATTTTTAGGTATATTTTTATTTACTGTTATTTTTAGGGTGGTAAAGCACTTTGAGCTTTTCCTGTTTTAAAGTGCTATAATAATAGCATTCTTCTTATTATCATTATAATTATTGGTATAATAATAATAATAATAATAATAATAATAATAATAATGTAATCACACCATTTCTGCTCTGAATGGCTGAAAGAGAGCTGTGTTCACTTATGTTGTAAAGGATTCTGACCGTTACCTGGACCAGGACTGAGCCCTGCATGTCCTCTGGTCACTGGCTTCCAAGAAAGACGGAATCATGACCCTATGAAGTGCAGGAAATCCTTCAGGCATCTGAAACAATGTGAGAAATAAAAAGATGCAATGCTGTTCTGTTCCTTTGGGCTCTTATGCATCAATGCTAGTCTAGAATTTTTTTTTCTTATTATTGACCAAAAGATGGTCCTAAATCAGCAGTCTGTGATGTTCCATACTGTATAGATCCTGATCATTAGGTCATAACACATATATTCCATTGCAAAACTGGAAATATCTCTTACACGGTACCAAGATTTTGACTAAAGCAATCTGCACCAGCTCCTTGTGAATCCCTTCATGGCAGAAAGGACTCTGAGCAAACCTGCAGGTGGTCATATAACTGCTGGAAGACAGTCAGATCCTGCAAGAAAAAGAAAGAAGTTTAAAATGCCATTACGGAAAAATGGAACCCAGTTTGACATGCGTGGTCTAGGTTGACCACCTCGGCACATTGCTCCTCCAATAAAAAGGGCTTTAATGTTAAATAATTGCAAGTGTCATATGCCTGTATTAAAGCTAGAGCTGATATAGCACACCTCCACTGCATGTTCCACAGAGGCTTCACTGCATGTTCCACAGAGGCTTCAGCAGTATTGTAGGAGCGATAAGATAAATAAAGAGCACTTCACTATAAAGAGAATTAAGCACTGCTATTAGGGATAGTAAATCGGTAACAGGGGGTATTGGTATCGGGCCAATAGCAGCAGAGAATATAGGATCAGATACCGGAGGGGAAAAAAGAATTAATCTGATCGAATCATGTAACAAATCTATCCTTAGAATAGCACACAGTTACATTGCCTGATGTCATGTTGTTATCAGTATATTTCTTCCTGTGGGGTAGTAGTTTGAGTCATTTTAGATTAAATTTTAAAGCTTAATAGTTTTATAATAATACATTCACTGAGCATTTTATTAGGTACCTTTGGGGTGGTGAATCATTTACAGTACTGCAGTGATAATGTGTGTTAGTGTATGTTGTGCTGGTATGAGTGGATCAGACACAGCAGTACTGCTGGAGTTTTAAACACTGTCCAATCACTGTCCACTCTGTTAGACACACCTACCTCGTTGGTCCACCTTGTAGATGTAAAGTCAGAAACCATCGTTCATTTGTTACGACACAGTTTGTGTTGGTCATCCTCCAGTTCTTCATCAGTGACCACAGGATGTTGCCCACAGGGTGGTGTTGGCTGGATATTTTTGGTTGGTGGACTATTCTCAGTCCAGTAGTCACACTGAAGTGTTTAAAAACTCCAGCAGCACTGCTGTGTCTGATCTGCTCGTAGCAGTGCGACCCACACTAACACACCGCCACCATGTCAGTGTTACTGCAGTGCTGAGAATGATCCACCACCCAAATAATACCTGCTCTGTGGTGGTCCTGACCATTGAAAAAAGGGGCAAAAGTAGGACAACGAATTATGAAGAAACAGAAAAATCCAAAGACAGGCTTTACAGTGTAGGGGTGAAGGCATCAAAATCCACTGTTCAAAGAAGACTTTGAGAACAGAAATGTAAAGTTCATACCACAAGATGCAAATCATTCATCAACAGCAAGAATCAAAAGGCAAGATTGGAATTCGCTAAGACAAAGAAATGAGCCACAAAAGGTTTATGGACTAAGAGTAACCTCTACCAAAGTGATGGAAAGGCCAAAGTGTGGAGAAAGAAAGAACCTGCTCATGATCCAAAACATACAACCTCTTCAGTCAAGCATGGTGGAGGTAGTGTCAAGACTTGCCATACTGTAGCTGGTGGGGGTTCATTCGATTTTCCACAGTTTGCGTGTTAATAGTGCCCTCCTGTGGAGACTCTTCAGCCTAGCAAACATGAGTGAGTGAGCTACAAGTCAGGTCCATGTTAAAAAAAGCCACAGAATAAATCTGTATTATAGAGATATGTTCTTTCCAAACAGACAGTACAGTTAAATTATGAAAATTAAAATGTTTAAGACCTTAAACGGGGCAGACTGTATTTTAAACATTTTAATGCAAGGCTTTAATTTTTGCAAAATCAGTTTAATGCCTTTTCACACATTTTATGGCCTGCAGTGGAAAGGAGTCATGATGAGAGATCACGTCATCTCACAGAGATATACACAGAGCCCTCCGGCCCGCGTGCATTTCTCTCATTAGAGCGACCGGCCTTGTGATCATGCAGAACAGTGCGGTGTATTTTAGGCATCTAGTCACACTCTCACTCTTAGTCATTCATATTTTCCAGCCCTTGTTATTAATACTTCTTTTTCTTCTCAAACTTTTTTCCTTTTAAGGCATTTTATGGATTAGATGGACGTTGGTTGATTCTGGGTCATATAACTCACTCCACACTGTCTCCTAAAATATCAAATGCTGGAGAGAGAGTGGAGAGGCTGTGTGCTGTGGCCAGCGAGAGGACCAGTGCGCTGTCCACGTGCAGGACAGACAGCCCAGCAGGAGCTAGAGACGGCTCTGCTGTAAATGTGGGAGACAGGACAGCTCAGCATGTCTCTACCATCCCCTCTCCACAGGCCATCTGTAAGCACCCTCACATGTCTCTGACCCCTCATATGGACTGATTCAGGATCAGCTCAACCTCGTTATAAAGATCATGTTTATTATGCAGTGAAAATTACAAACTGATCCTACATCACTTTTGCTACTTGGAGAAGTCTCACACCCTGATAGTCTCTGAATGCTTCACAGAGAATGTGCCTATGTCAGCTTTTATCTTTAATATATTATTGAATGTCATTACTCATATGGAGAGGAGCTGATACAGGTCCAGCTTTCCTCTACAGCACATTTCAAACCAAACCAACATGGAACTGAACTGAAATGAAATGAAAAAAAAGAGAGTAAAAACAGTGAAGATAATGTCAAAACTGTTGAGACGCCCATGTCTATTCTGTCATCTATTGGGGGGCTAAAAATAGAGACATGCTAAAGTTTTATTCAAGTTATTTAATTGTTTGTCTCAGTTGCACTTTTTTAAAGTCTTATAAATTTTATAAGATCACTGTTTCACATAAAACCTTTTGCTTTGAAATAAAATGTACATTTTTTCTAATTCAAATCAGTCTGTGTAGTTCTGTAGCATTAAGACATTTATAACACATAAAATATCACCAATCAAATAGAATTTTGACCAGCAGCGTCACTAGGATCTTATGAGTTCCTGAGCAAAAAAAAGTCCCCCCACATATGAATATGATTTTAGGTAAAAAAAAAGACAATGTAATTTACTTGTTTACTCATTATTGTTATGTCTGAAACAAGCTGATTCTCTGATGATGTTTAGCTAATTGTAATCTAAATGTTTACAGTAGGCTACCTATTTAAGATTTTAGAATTATAACTAATGAATGTACAGTTGTATGCAAAGGTTTGAACACTCCTGGTCAAATTACATGTTTTGTTAATTTTCTATGTGAAAATACGTTAATGCATCCTCTACAGAGAACAAACCAAAATATGCAATTTTTCTACATTTTTTAGGGAACAGTATCTAGTTTAACATAGTCGGGAAAAACATGAAACATCAAACGTGCTATAATGTTTTGCACAGGCCACATTTTATTTAATTAACCTAGTTTTCAATGTGCTGATTTCAGCAAATAAACAGCAGTCATGCATTAAAATGTGCCCAAGTTTGTTCTCTGTAGAACAACAGTTATATTTTTTTATCTTAAGCTCAGAATCAAAAATAGTATCGACCCTGAAAATATATGTATCATTGCATTCCTTCACTCAAAAAAGATGGTTCTTCAACGGTTCTTTAGCAAAGACTGTTTCGATAGTGTTTCTATAGAACCATGAACACTCAAAGAACCATTCACATGCTTAAATGGTTCTTTGCATGGTGAAATGGTTCTTCAGAGTGATGGACAACGTGTTGTATGGCTCTGTATAGAACCTTTAACACCTAAAAGGGTTCTGCTGTCGTTACAATGTCAAGCTTGAAAGAGGAGAAGAACCCTTTTTGGTGCTATATAGAACATATACAACATTCTAAGCATGCAAATGATTGTGTGAGTGTTCATGGTTCTATATAGAGCCATTGTCTTTACTAAAGAACCCTTGAAA